TCAAGCGATGTGATAAGTATCACTACACGTGGATATACCTCAGCAGGCTGTTGCACGACCAGTCGAAACACGTTGGGAATTAACACTTTTGCATACGATGCCTACACGGCTTCACACAAGCTGATTTATTAGAATCCCACCGGGAGGATTGGCAAGGTGTGGGGCAGACGGCCATACGAATCGACATGACCAAGGAAGGCGACAATGACCTAAAATTCGCCAACCACAAGAATTAGATGCCCGTGCCTTACATCAACTTCGCCGACCTCGAAGCCTTGATAAAAAACATTGATATCGGGCCGACCCCCAACAGACGCAAAACACAGGAGCACATGGCCTGTGGGTTTGGATACGTGGTTGTCCGATGTGATGGGGAAAGGAAAGCTCCCGTAGTGTACAGGGGTCCCAACGCGGCTGAAAAGTTTCTAAAGTGTTTGCAGGAGGAAGAGAAAACTATCAGGAATGCACTGTACACAGTCGCTCCCATGCGTATGAATCAAGCCGACCGGTGAGCTCACTGCTGCAGCACTCGCTGTCGCGTGTGTGATAAACTGCTGAACGGCGATTCCGTGAGAGATCACTGCCATGTCACCGGTAAGTATAGAGGCGCTGCTCACAGCGCATGCAACCTCAAGCTTAGAATCAACCCCAAGACAAAAAACATCCCCGTGGTCTTCCACAACTTGAGAGGGTACGACTCTCACTTGATCATGCAGGCCATCGCGAGGGTAGACATCATCCTGAAGTGCATCCCGACCAACATGGAGAGATACATCTCCTTCTCCCTGAACGGCCTGAGGATCATCGACTCGGTTCAGTTCCTCCTGTCGTCACTCGACAGTCTGGTCAAGGCCAACGATACTTTCCCCATCACTGATCGATACACCAACGCCGAGACTCGACCCCTGCTGATGAGGAAGTGCGTGTACCCCTACGAGTACATGGATGGCTGGACCAAGTTCGCCGAGACCCAACTGCCTCCCATCGGCCAATTTTACAACAACCTGACCGACTCGACAATCACCCAAGACGATTACTCGGACGCGATTAACGTATGGAATAAACTGGGCTGTAAGAAGCTGGGTGACTACCACGACCTGTTCTTGAGAACAGACGTACTCCTGCTGGCTGACGTGTTCGAGACGTTTAGGAGGACGTGTTTCAAGCAGTATCAACTCGACCCCGCATGGTACTACAGCAGCCCAGGTCTCTCTTGGAATGCCTTGCTGAAGAAAACCGGAGTTAAGCTGGAATTGATCACCTATTACGACATGTACTTGTTCATTGAGAAAGGCTTGCGAGGTGGGATTTCCATGGCCTCTAAATGCAATGCGAAAGCCAATAATCAATACGTGAAAGGCTACGACTCGAGCAAGCCAACCACTCACATCCTCTACCTCGATGCCAACAACCTGTACGGCTGGGCCATGAGCCAGTATCTACCCACAGGGGGATTCGAATGGGCATCACCTGAGATCGATGTTATGAGCATCGTGCCGGATTCGAACAAAGGCTATATCCTCGAAGTGGACTTGGAATACCCCAAGGCATTGCACACATCGCACAACAGCTACCCCCTTGCCCCCGAACGTTTGAGGGTTAACCCGGACTGGATGTCCGAGTACCAACATAACTTGCTGGGTGGGCGGGTGGCAGACGTTGAAAAACTCGTGCCCAACTTAATGAATAAGACCAAGTAACCCGTTCACTGTCGCAACCTACAGCTGTACCTGTCGTTGGGTATGAGGCTGACCAAAATACACAGGGTGCTCGTGCTTGACCAGAGCCACTGGATGGAGCCCTACGTCAGAATGAACACTGACCTGCGAAAGCTGGCCACCAGTGACTTAGAGAAAAACCTCTACAAGCTCATGAACAACTCGGTATTTGGTAAGACGATGGAGAACCTGAGGAAACGAGTGACCGTGAGGCTGGTTCGGTTGAAAGAGGAAGACAAGCTCTGGAAACTGATAGCCAGCCCGGCATTCAACCCGAGCAAGATATTCACCGACGACCTGGTGGCCGTGCACATGAAGAAAAGCCACATCAAATTCAACCGGCCTGTTTACGTGGGGATGAGCATGCTCGATTTATCCAAACACCTGATGTACGACTTTTACTACAACGAGCTCAAGAAGCAGTATGGCGACAGGTGTGAAGTGCTGTACACGGACACGGATTCCCTGCTGATGGAGATTTGAACCGAGGACGTGTACGAGGACATGAAGAAACGCCTCGATTTGTATGACGCCAGCGACTACCCCAAGGACCATGCCATGCACAGCACGGTAAATAAAAAAGTGCTCGGCAAGATGAAGGACGAGTGTGCTGGCACGCCCATAGCCGAGAACATAGGCTCGAGACCCAAGATGTATTCCATCCTGAAAGCTGACAACGGTGAGATCGGAAAGGCGAAGGGTGTCAAGAAGTACGTGGTGAAACAACACATCAAACACGCCAGATTCCAGGAAGCCCTGTTCAGACCTTCAGACATCAAATGAGTGAGTGAGTTAAGATTTTAAGTCACATCGGCAATATTTCAGCCATATCGTGACTAAAGCAAGTTATAAATATATTAACAATTTAAGTGAAATTATAAAATTCTGCCAACGAAGGACAGTAAAACAACTAGATTATCACAGATATATATGTGAGTGAGTGAGTTAATATTTAACGTCACATCGGCAATATTTCAGCCATATAGTGACGAGAAATGAGATATATATGTAAAACTAGTAATTGAATCTAAAACATTTTAACTATAGGGGACAACACAATATAAAAATGGGCTATAGATCGCTAACAACTGAAGGTAGATCACCATACTAGGGACCATGGGGACTTACAGTACATTTGCTTCCTGCATGGGCCCTAGCTGGATTTACATCATCCCCTCAGCTGTTAGCAATTGAGATATATCTAGCCATACATTAAAATTACACATATTCTACGATTAAAAAACGGGAAGTTGAAATTTACTTTGAATGTTTTGGGACTTACGTACCCTCTCAGGAGGACAATAATTTTACAGTACTTTAACCCCCCTCGAGGATACAGCCACTAACAATCTGTGTTACTAATTCAAACTTCCAATAATAAAATATATATCTATTTACAAATCACTTAACAGATCTAATTCTTTTAAAAATGCAATAATTAAATGAGAACTAACATTATTAAAAAGATCCTTCATACTGTTTACTTGGAAATAGTTATCCCTTGTGATGGAATATTCAATGCAGTCAAGCAGACATCAAATGAACATGCTTAAAAGCGAAGGGCACAGGATATACGGACTGACTATAAACAAGACGTCCCTATCACCGATGGACACGAAGCGCTGGATAGCCATCGACGGGATCAACATGTACACGTACGGGCATGAGAAAATTGAACCAAGAACATAGGTGTGTATATATACAATGTCACGGAACCAAAGAAAGTTTGAGGTTATTTACTACAGACCGCGTGGGTACTGGAAAGGAGCTAGCGCCGTACCTAAGCTGGCCAAAATGGTGCAAGTACCCCCGTACGAGGCCAAAGCGTGGCTTGAAAAACAAGCCCTGTGGCAGATCTATTTACCTGCACCACGCTACGTGCCTAGAAGGCAGTTCGATATTACCGTACCCAATAGCGTCCACCAGGCCGACCTCCTGTTCCTACCCCACGACAGGAGGTACAAGTATGTCCGAACCATCGTTGACGTTGCCAGCCGCTACAAGGAAGTCGAACCCTTGACCATGAAAGGATGCGGCCCAAGTAGTCCGCGGATTCGAACGTATATACAAACGCAGTCCACTGACATGGCCCACAGAGCTGCAAGTTGATCCCGGGTGGGAGTTCATGGGTGCCGTGTCACAACTGCTAGCCAAACACAATACCAAGATCAGGCGTGGCGTGGTCGGAGTCCATCGCAGCCAAGCCATAGTCGAGAGATTCAATCAGACTTTGGCCGAGCGCTCATTAGGGCACCAGTATGCGAGAGAGATGGTCAACCTAGAAAAAAGATCGATGGAATGATAGTGCGGCTACTTCTGGTGGTGTCGGCTATGAACCACGAAACCACCCATCTCACCGGCAAGAAACCAGCCGACGCTATCAAACTGAAATCAGTAGTGGCTGAGTCGGCTGCACCATCGCATGGGAAGGGGAAACAGATACCCGATAGGGCCCTCGTGAGGTACCTCTACCAGCCGGGGGAAACACGAAGGGGACACTCGGAAACGAGCCACTGATCCGATATGGTCAGTCAAAACTTACAACATAGATAAAGTAGACATCAAAGCCAATGAGCCAAACTTGTACTACCTGAAAGATGGGCCAGAGAGAGATTTCGTCAGAGAGGAATTATTGGTCATACCATATGGCACAATGTTGCCACCCAAGCAAAATATTTAACACTTACCTTGTCGAGTGATTCACATTAAACTGTTGGCTGTCAACACGACATAGAGCTATCACGTGATCAGGAAAGTGCTAGTTCGTGGTCATAGTGACCGGGAAGTTCACTGGGGATTCAAAAGTAGTATGTACAATGGTGGCAAGATCTAAGGGCCTGACAAAAGCTTTATTTATGAAATAAAGCTTTACAGCGACCTTTCTTGGAATTGATCTCGGACTATCATTGTATATACTACTCACGTGCCATATATATCAGAAAGCGTTAGGTACCGAACCTGTCTGTGACCATGATCATCTCACTGGGGACTATCGAGGGGCACAGCAAAAATATAATTTACATTTTCAGTTTCGACAATCAGACGGCAAAAAGGTTGGATATAGTCAGGTACAGGATAACTTCATTCCTGTCATTTTCCATAACCTCAAAGGCTATTGCTCGCAACATATTATCAAACATTTGGATATCACATACAAGGGAACAATTGATTGCATTGCCAGCAACATAAAGAAGTACATCTCCTTCTCTTTGGGTACTTTGCTGTTGGCAATCTATAGTGACATAATTTTAATTTAAATGCTAGTTTTAATATCTCAAATTGTGATATTCTAGTTTGTTTTACTGTCCTTTGTCGGCAGATTTCATACTGTTATATAACCTACAGTTAACATGTTACCTGTTTAATCACGATATGGCTGAAAATTTGCCGATGTGAAATTTTTGCTCACTAAATCACTCAATTTGGGTAGTTTGAGGTATATAGATTCCTTTCAGTTTCTCAACTCCAGCTTGGACACTTTAAAACGTGAAAGCTGACTCTTCTTCTAAGTTCCATTATCTTTGAGAAGAAGAATGTTCTGTTAAGTGTCATTTCAACTTATGATTAAGAAAGGGTTCCGTCCATACGATTGCATGGATGATGAAGAAATAATTGACTTGAGGCAACTGCCCTCCAAAGGCAAGTTTCACAATGTGTTAACAGATACCTGATATCTGATTCGGACTATCAGCATACAGAAACGACCTGGAGCACGTTCAGTCTTAAACCTATGGGAGAATATCGTGATATGTACTTAAGGGCTGATGTTCTTCTGGCAAAACAACTGGTCGCAAAACATCATCCATGTATCTTCGAGCATTCAGGTTGCCATGAATAATCACAAGTCTCGTTTGTCCTCCTGAGAGGGTACGTTAGTCCTAAAACTTCAAGGGAAATTTAGCTCTACCAAACTTTTAATCATAGAATATTTGTTATTTTAATAATGGCTAAAACTCAGCACAATCGCCAGCGGCTGAAGGGATGGTGTAAATCCAGCTAGGGTCCATTCTGGTAGCTAAAGTACTGTAAGTCCCCATGGACACTAGTATGGTGATCTACCTTCAGTTGTTGGTGATCTATAGCCCATTTTTATTATTGTACTGACTGTAGTGATTCAGTTTTACGATAGCGTACTAGTTTTAAATTTATATCTGTGATCTTCTAGTATCTTACTGTCTTTCGATGACAGTTTATTACGTTCTAAATTTATTGATTTTAAAATTGATATTAAATTGTATTCGTCACGATATGGCTGAAATATTGCCGATGTGACGCTAAATGTTAACTTACTCACTCACAAGTCTCGTATATCTCACACACACACACACACACACACACACACACACACACACACACACACACACACACGCTACCGGTTGCAAACGGTCGCAGGCAAAACCTAATCTCGTCGGTTAACATCACACGTCGCCAATTACGCAGGTCCCAACGTCGAACTCGCCTGGCCCATGTCAATCGAGGACGTCATTTTGAAGAGTCAGATATCACTCCGAGGTAGGGTCGACGTCCTCAAATACCATGTTATCTTAGTCGCCGGTACACTGTATGTCGAGTGATACGGTGTCCAAGTGCCGTCGCCGTTACAAAACGATTTCTCAGATGAATTGTGCGTATTTGACCTGGCTCTGGCTCAGTATTGTTTTATCACTTCATTTTTATTTTGGTGAGTTTTTATGTAAAACTTTGCGGTGTAAAGTTTCTTTTAAGCACTAGTTTATTTGTGCGTGTGATGTATGTATATTCGACTTCATAGTGAAGGTTGAAAAGGTGGAACATAAACGTCCCTCTGGCATCCAGGGGTTAAAGATGATGGAGAGGAGGGTGGTTATGATTTTGCTTACTCCATGTTTGACTTCTATACTCAGAGGAAAAAAGGGAACATTGCACGTATATGGCCATGTAGCACTAAGGGGTATGACCATTACATGGTCCAGATGATCCAAGGGGGGATTTCATTCCACAGTAATTGACACCATTAAAGAAGATACACCTTCTGCCTTTGTTTAACTATACTGGCCACGTGGTAGTTGTGTTGTACCTGTATGGCATGAAGCCAGCAGTGTGCCGCTTTGTGGATTATCGATGTTGCATCTCGCAGGGTAAACTGCCGGCCATCTCGGCAGACCACATCTGCTGAGCCAAGCTCAGGTTAATGCAAGGTCAATGAGTGCCGTGACATATAAACGATCTTTACGTAGCAAACACACATCGTCTAGTCAACAACTTTCTTACATGATCATGTGAAGTTCCAAACACAACAAATGACAAAAAATGTCTGAAAATTGCTTTAACAGTTTTTGATGATGTTCCAAAGTAAAGAAAAAATATATATTCATCAACAATATGACATACTGACAAAGAAATAACGTACACAGCACATCAGTATCAGTAACAACACATGAAACTAGAGTGACTTTATTGCGCACCACGTGACACCAAGAGATCCACTACTTTCGGATGTCCCCAGAATCTCGCTATTTCGACCGCCGTATGACCGTAGTCGCTCCGGACATTGATATCCGCCGCGTGGAGAGAGAGGACCAGCTTCACCGTCTCCAAGTCTCCTGCCAAACAGGCCCAGTGAAGGATGTTTGTATGAGAATCGTCCGTCAGAGACACATCAGCTCCTTCCGTCACAAGAAGTTCCACTACGTCTCTGTGTTTACACCTTGCTGCCACAATCACGGGTGTTACGCTGTTCTGTCCTCTACTGTTGATATTCACCACGTTCAGTGACAGGACCAGCTTAACCATCTTAATGTCGCCTCCCCGACAGGCGTAGTGAAGGATGTTGTCATTGACATCGTCCACCAGTGACACATTGGCTCCTGTAGTCACAAGGAACTCCACAACTTTTCTGGGTGCATACCGTGCTGCCACCATGACTGGTGTCCTGCTCCTCCATCCTCTACTGTTGATGTCCACCATGTTCAGAGACAGCACCAACTTCACCGTCTCCAAGTCGCCTCCCACACAGGCCCAGTGAAGGGTGTTCTCACCGATATCGTCCACCTGTGTCACATCAGCTCCTTCCTTCACAAGGAGCTCCACTACATCTCTGTGTCCATGTTGTGCTGCCTCTATCACTGGTGTCCTCTTCCTCCATCCGGGACTGTTGATGTCCACAACGTTCAGAGACAGGACCCACTTCACCGTCTCCACATCTCCTCCCTCACAGGCCCAAATCAGGAGGTTGTCACCGACAAAGTCTACATATGACGCATTGGCCCCGCTACTCAAAAGCAGATCCACTACTTCCCTGTGGCCGTACTGTGCGGCCACCATCAAAGGTGTCCCGGTCTTATATCCTTTACTGTTGATGCCCACGGCGTTCAGAGACAGGACCAGCTTCACCGTCTCCATGTCGCCTCCCCGACAGGCGTAGTGAAGGATGTTGTTATGGTCATCGTCTACAAGTGTCACATTAGCTTCTTCTCTGACAAGGAGCTCCACTACATCGCTGTGTCCGTTCCATGCTGCCGCCATCACCGGTGTCCTCCCGTCCACTCTACAGTTGACGTTGGCAAGACCCACAGACAGGATGCTTCTCACAGCCTCCAGGTCACCGTCCCTGCTAGCGTTGTAAAGGTCGTCGTTTGCAAGTGATCGAGTCTCTGTAAAAATAAGTAAATTATGTACACATCCGTACATCCTTGTCATAGATCTACTATGTTTTATGTGCGTTGACAAGCGACTCAAACACTCAACAACAGTACGACATGACGAGTATTTTATTATGCCAGTATGTTTGTATCCAGTAACAATATTTTGAGTATGGCTGGACAGTGATAAAGTGTGTTTATGCTTTATAAGCTGTTGAGATGAGTCCAACTATTGTCAGGAGTTACCTACATAATAAGATGATATTATATTTTTATATAGGCTGACATGTCAGCCTGTTTTGTTTGATGTTGAACGCCACCCTCAGCAGTATCGTAGCTGTCTGTGAGACGATGGGGAAGCTTAGCTTTGCGCTGCTTTTAGCAATTTTCAGCAAATATCACGGCGGGGGACACAAGAAATGGGCTTCACACATAGTACCTATCGAACCCGGTGTTCGGCGTGACGAGCGAGCGTTTTAACCACTAGGCTACTCCACCACCCTGTTAATTGTAGGAAGGTCTGGGACTGAGATTCCTGGGTTCTCCCACCTACCGTTCAGATCAGACTTTTCTGTCGTTCCTAGGACCGGCGGAACCCTCTCGCCCGGGCTCTGATTCTGACTTGGGTCAATCGAGGCTGAAACAGAGAATACATAGTACAGAAATCTATGTAAAACATGTAAGCATATACACGTAGTACAGTTGTCGCCTAATGCTTTGCAAATAAAATATATTCTCGGATAAATTGGGTTTTAAATATATCTCTTTTGTTTGGTGTATTACAAATATTCGGTTAAATTAGAATCAAATACCAGAACGAAAAACAGTTGGTGTATGGCAGTGTTATTCATTCTGTGATATTCATTAGATGGCAGTGGCGAGCTATATTTAGACAAAGTTCGGGAAGCTACTATGGGGTACTACAGCCCTATTAATATTTCTTCCTCTACAGTCGACCCGTGAAGTTCCGGGGTAGAATAGATCTTCAGCAACCCATGTGCTTGCCATAAAAGGCGACTATATGCTTGTCGTAAGAGGCGACTAACGGGATCGGGTTGTCAGTTTCGCTGACTTGGTTGACACATGTCATCGGTTCCCAATTGCGCAGATCGATGCTCATGCAGTTGATCACTGGATTGTCTGGTCCAGACTCGATTATTTACAGACCGCCGCCATATAGATGGGATATTGCTGTGTACGGCGTAATACTCAACTCACTCACTCACTCCTCTGCAGTCTGACCTGGGGAGTTGGAGAATCTTCTGGAGTCATTTTCCTGGTTATACAAGGGTACCTAACTCTTGCTATATATATTACATCTCAAGTTACAACAATTGTGTGGAGATTATTCTTGCTGTCGATACTCAGCCCAGGCCCTGTTATGTAAACTTCACCCATTGATCCAGTGAGGTGACAGTTATTGTCTCTGTCGTTATTGCTGTAATCACGACTCTTGTCATTATAACATATACTTCCTTTGAGGGGCTGTGGAGAAGCCTAGTGGTTAAAGCGTTCGCTCGTAACACCGAAGACCCGGGTTTAGAATCCCCACATAGGTGCAATGTGTGAAGCCCATTTATGGTGTTCCCCTTGGTGATATTTCTGGAATATTGTTAAAAGCGGCGTAAAACTAAATTCATTCACACTGCTTCCTGTGAATTTGTACTGTCATTCGATTTCTGTGCCGTCACTGTAATATCTTTGTAGTGGTTTGTATTAATGTGGAAACTTTGGTAATGATAGAATATAATTGATAAATAGATTACATTGCTTTTTTATTTTGTATTTTGTTAAGCCATTCTTAATTCAGTTAATGTAAGAATGAAATTGCTCCTTATATCACATATCATTGTCGAATCACTTTTTTTATTCAACTTGGGAATCGAGAAGTAGCGATAATAGTTTTTCCTACATGAAACGCAGAGGAAAAACGAAAAAAGTCAGCTGAAGAAAATACAACAAGTTCAGGTTCCTTGGCAACTGCCGAGAACGTATGTTGTAGTGATGTGATAATGTATATACACCTCCCTCATGGGTTTCTGCCAAACGCACCTTTCTTCATGTGCAACAAGAGATATTTGTAATCTGGAGATAAGCCAAAGACAACACTCTGTACTTCGTTCCACGATAAGGCACTGTTAGGGGGGGAAGGGGGGGTCATCTCACTATTCCATCTGGATTTCCCAATGCTCACAGTGGTGCCAGCTCCGACATTATGTGTATCCCTTCTCCCCAACACACAGTGTATCAAATGGATTTGATATTCCAGTGTTCGAGTTCTGACGATCACCAGTTTACGTCGCGAATTATTACACTGAAATCTTCAGATTCCTTTGCTGATATGGCCCCTGCGTGATCTTTATCGTTTATCGTCTTTAACTTTGTTGATACGGTCCCCGCGAACATGTTTTCACTTGCTCATGTCAGCACACGTTGTTTACCATTCTAACCCGTGATTCTGACGACGATAGGTCGTTTGTTATCGTGTTACGTCTTGCCTACTATAAGCACTCTCTCGATCGGGATCGTGCTAACATCGTCTGCCAGGCCATGTGTCCATGTCGCTTCTCACAAGATTTCCGCTTTAGATTCACCTTCTTCGTAAACAAAATCCGTACTATACTTAATTGCCTCCACGGGGTGATTTTACAGGTTATACGTGTATCCTTTTGACTTCTTTTCATTCTTCAATTATTCAATAACCTGTTATCCACTTGCTTTCAGATTATTCCCTTCTGCTAGTTATAGAACGAAGGCAACATTTGCAACCTTTGAGAATATATTTATAGATATCAATACGATCTGCGTGCATGTGGTTTCTATATAATTAGGATGGGTGGAAAACGAATGCAAGTCAAGTACTCTGCGGGACGGATGAATAATATTATTCATTCATCTATGCTCGGCTTGAGGGTTTACATTTCAGGGATCATGAGAAAAGGCAGCTTCATTGATATATTTTACGTGAAATATGAGATACTAATAAATATTGCTTATTACGCTCTGAATAAATTGTTTTATTTGTTTCAGTTGGCATGTTGAATAGTTTAACAAAATACATTTATTTTCAAAACGTATTCCTTCTAAGTCTAAAGCAAATGCAGTAAGGCATCCTTAATTTGAATTGAACATTGATGGTTATTTCACGAAATATGTGCGTGCATAAAATGTCAATGAGAGCAAATTGTTACTGCTTTGGTGATATGAAGCATGTTACAGCGATAGTGTTTTAACAGTGTTAAAATATTCATAACTCGTTGACGCAAGGTTTTTAAGATTGTTGTGGTGAAGCAGTCCCTTTCTAGTTTCTCTGGCCGATCTTTTCTAATGCATCCAGGGAACCAATAGGTGTACACAAGTATTATTTTGCAAATCGTAACACCACATTGTCTTCCTTATTAAAATACCCAGTTAATTAGTGAGTGAGTGAGTTTAACTCGTCACGTCGGCGATATTTCAGCCATATTGTAACTTGACAAAGTTAAAAGGATGTATGATTATCTTAAAAACTGTCATCGAAGTACAGAAAAATGACCAGCAATATATCACATATTTGATTTAAAACCAGTTCTGGAACATTAAAACTGAGTATTTGACATCGATACATACAAATGGGGCTCGGGGACACCAGCAACATAGGTTAGAACACAATACTAAGAACGATGGGGATCACATGATGAATCGTAAGAACGCGTGGAGCTTGACCAGGTATTTTGTTATGTTTCGGCCCAAGAATGCTGTCGAAGACAAACGTGGGGGATAATGAAAGGTGGGGACCATTCCTAATAGGTCAACATTACTCTTTCACGTGCAATTACCCTTTGGTACCCACTGATTACTCCAAAACTTCATTTAGGCATCTCTGTCTCCTGACTGAGGGATGATACAGTGTATAAAACACAGCATATCTGCCAATACATCCCGTGTTGTCATGGCAAGTAAACCCTGTGATGCTATGCCCAATAACTCTACGTTGACATGCCCAGAACACCTTTTGTTAACATGCCATGCACATCCTATGATGGCTTTCCCAGTACATATTACATTGACACTTCTGTAACGCTTATGTTGACCTAACCAGAAAGAAATCTCAGCTAAAAGGCTCACCTTCTGAAGCACGAGGATACGCAGAGGGCAAAGTCGTGAAAAACATATGCGACAACGACTTTTCTGTAACACCACTTTCATTATTCCCCTCCCTCCTTACACAACTCATATTCAGTGTCGTCAAGTCCTCCTTGAGGCCAGTGATTTTCTGCTTTGAATCATGCAAATCTTCAATGGTCTGACTGAGTTGAATGTTTATACTCTGAATTTCTGCACGTAACTTTTGCTGCATATGCCGTACGCCTTCCTTGTATGATTGTTCATCTTCGATGTGCTCTTCAATCTCTTTTCTTATCATCCAACAGCTTGTATTCAGAGTCATGAAGTCCTTCCTGAGACCAGAGTTCAGCATCCTTGCATCACGAAGATCTGCTTGTGTCTGATTCAGCTGAATCTGTAATGTGCGGATATGTGTGGTCAGCTGGAATCGTAGTTTTCCAAGACTGTCTCTGTAAAAGTCCCTTGCCCGTTCAACGTCTCTGAACTGTTGAGCCTTTGTGCCCCGTTCACCGGCTTTCAGGCTGTTGATTTCACCGGGAACATGTCCACTGATGCTATCCCCAGTATATTCTTCATTCAGAATGTCTGTGATGGCTTGTTTGACCAGACGCCTTATAAAGTTAGGAACGAATGTTTCAGTCACTTCCTGTTTCAGAGAAGATTCCAATGCCTGAAAGTTGTTTGTCACTTTAGTCTCCCTGTTAACAGCTGTAAGTTTCCATTCGCTGACCTGTCCGGACAACTGTCGCACTTGTTGAGCCAAGTCTCTCAATCTGGCACGGGCATGTACGTCCCTGACACCACACAACAACACGAGACTGAAGAATACAACTGTTACTATCGCCATTGTGTAAGGGTACTGTGTAGCTCGCAGCTAGGAAGTAGACTGCATCGGCACTGGATAAACAGCATTGGTCCGACGCAAATGTTTGGCAAAATGTCAGCTCGGGGAAACAGATACTCACAGACGTATATGTACATGTGGTAACCTAACAACAAACATGGCGATGGAGATAACTACATCAGATCATCTGTATGATACAAAGTGTCAATGTTGTCCCGATAGTAGTTATCTGTGAGTCTGGCCTGGGCAATACGGGGCGTAGTTCGGTCAATCATTCTACATCTACCACACATTTTGGACCCACGTTCACATCCGATCATGCTGTGCAACATAAACATGCATAAAACATTCTGTTCATCACTGGAATATTGCTGAGTGTGACGTTGAAGTGAAAACAAAACGTGAAAGCACACGTATTCTCTCAAGACTTCTGCAAAATCACTTCCAGTGAACATAAGCCCATGTGATATACCAAACTTTTTATTACGTTTATATTTACGTTCGAGCAATGGCAAATCTGTATCTGTTTATGAATATAAAAGTCACTTCATTTGCATCAATATAAAGCCCAACATTTCGTTCTTTCATTCAAATTGTTTACAATACAAATGAATATAAGTGGTTTTATATTCTGCGACTGGCACCTACATGTTGTGTTTCAACGTTAGCTCTAAATTTGGCTAACACTTGGACGTACCTGGCTTCCGTGGTTTCACAAGGGAGAACTGACCACAGAACATATCAATGACATGTATCTTCAGTATAACCGAATTATAGATGTAACATCATGATGCTCCATGACCAAGGCTGTGTTTATATACCTGATATGTGACTTGCACTGCATGAATAAGACGCACTGCCAAAAATATTTCCTTGGTTGCCTTATTCCAATACAACTGATTTAATATCGCATATTCTTAAGGTGCATGTCTTGATTAACTTACTAAATGTGTTATCATGAGATAGTTACAAAAATCAAACTAGTTTTAAAAAGAAAATTGAGTGTCATTATATTGGAAGCGCTTATACCCGCATTGGTAATGTAGCTGGACTGGGTAAGTCAATATGATATAACATTGTGTCGTACAATTGACAGAAAATTGCTCTGAAACCGTGTTCTCCCAAGAAAATCAACAGTTCCGTTTCTGTGGAGTTTACAGAATAACTACTGATGTACTTGAACCTTATAAGGAACACCGTATGATAATAGAGAATAAAGATATAACACCGGTACTCATGTCCTCTCAAAACAAGGGAGTACTTGTAGGGTTCAAGGGATTTATTGGCACATGGTGTTCTACAAAGTGGTCCAGATCTGCCCTACAACATGCATAATTCAATTGTAAAGATTGTGGACATAGGCAGTACATAGACACAAGATAACAATATTACTTATAATACTTTTAAGATTTACAGTTGATTTCTATATATACTTTAACAAATCCCTTTAGCTAAAACATATTACACTTTATATAGAGATCACATGCAATTAAACATAAACATATTACCTCGTCTCAGGGACGCAGGCTATAATAACTCCCAGGTGTACAGTGATGTAAGCCCTGCACAAAAAAATGGTTTAAACATATTTATTTCCAAAAGAGGAACCGGATTGGTAAACAAGCAGTATGTTGCTTATCTGAATACCGCTCCGGTAATACAGATAAATTATAGACATAACAATCGTGAGGAGAAAAGCATGATATTATCAAACAGTAAACAATAGCTTTCTGGAAATGTAACAATCCAACACTGTAATAGCCGCTTATAACATTAGAACCATTAGTGTCGGAAAATATTTAATAGTAAGTGCAATTTCGTTTTTGCTATTACAACACAAATCTGCCTGACAGTACAACGAAAGAATGGATAGATTCTAATAATTCATGATTACCTTTAGTAGATCCATTACAGTGGCCGTTTAGTATTGATTTGATGTCGTATCCTTTAGTATAGAAGTGCATTGTATGTCTTAAGCCAGAGTAATTAACGCACGAAAAGAAATAGTGAATTGGATCTTCGTAACAATAGCCACAAGAACAACAGGGATTTGAAGTTATATATCGTTGATAGTTATGTGCGTTTAAATAGCTGCAACCGAGCCTGAGGCGAGAATGGATAATCTCACAGAATCTTAATCCAGAGTTTAAATTGAAGTAGTTTTGACTGTCATCATTTGACACATTAATCTGTTTCTTAAAACTACCCAACGTAGCCGATTCTTTATAACCGGTAGACAAAGAAGTCCACAATCTTACTGTCTCTGGGAGAAATGACTTGGCATAATTTGCACTTTTACTATCGATAGTTTGGAGCTTCAAACGGTCTCGGAAACTAGTTTGTAGTGTCAGATACCTTAGGAGGGACGAGATTGCTCAAATATTTTGAAGTTAAATTATTAACCATTTTACAGAAAAATGTTAGATTTTGGATGTGTCTTCGAGTACATAGTGGTTGGAAATTTGTCTCATCATATATTTTGTTATGACTCGTACCGCGAACAGCACCGCAAATAGTTATAAGTGCATCAAGATTAAGTTTTTCCAGTGTTAGTGCTTCCTGTTTGGTACAATTGTCCCAGATGTGACAACAATAGTCGAAAATAGGCAAAATAAATTGTTTGTCCTTAAGGTACATTTGTAAAGTTTTACGTGAGAGACGATATTTAAAACCTCTAAGACAGTTTACCATGGGCGCAACCTTTTAAGCGATACAGCTAACATTGTCAGTCCAGGAACAATCGTGCTGTAGAGTAAGTCCCAAATGTTTATGGCAATTAACGTCATTAATATTACTATCCTTCATTGTTAAATTTCGTTTTGGGCTGGGCTGTACTTTACGAGAGAATTGTATAGAATCTGTTTTATTAGGATTAAATGTAACTTGCCATTTGTCAGCCCAATCAGAAATTTTACGTAGTTCATTATTAAGAGACAGAGCAGTTTCATCAGGATTATTTATTATAGCATAAAGTGATGTGTCATCTGCGAAGAGACGGATATTGCTGTTAATTCCTTCCTTCTTGATGAATGACACTTAGATGAAAGTACATTCCTTAACCCCAAGTATACTCTGTTTGATCTTAAGAAACCTATGGAAAGAACAACACAATATACAGGAAAAGTTAATAATTTTGGTAAGAAGCTTACATATTTATGTAAATGTATAAATTTACTTATATGTAATGGTCGAATTGGTGAAGATGAAGGTGTTTGAAGCCCCATATGTAAAGACAAAAGTCTTGTTTAATATGTCATATCATCCCCTTCCTGTCTACCTTTATTTGTTAATTTGAAAGTCATACCATTTCCCCCCCTATACTCAGATGTCCATTGTCCAGTTTCATTTAGTCTCCAATTAAGCGATTTCAATGCCGCCAAAAGTGATACTGATAAACCAACTACGACCATGAATACAGAAACCAATAATCCTACACTGCTCCGACCAACACGTTACAATCAAAGTAAAGCTACTGAGTATGTAAACAAGTTAGATAATGAACGTATCGATTTTTTTAAAGGTGTAGCGGAGAGAGCATTGCAAGGTCAAGGTGACTGTGAGGCGGTAGATACACTAGCCAATGAAATTGCTCACGTGTTATGTGATGCTGCACGTGCAACTTTTGGCGTGAATGAACGACACCCTACTCGTATTACTAGTGCTATGCTTCGTAAGCAGTCTCACAAAACATGGTTTAGTAAAGATTGTCATGTAGCAAGGAGGAAGTACAGAAAAGCTCGTAAACAGTTTCAGAAATTCAAATCGTATCAAAATGAGATACATTATAAAAAACAAGCTAAAGATTATGAAAGATGTTTGTATAAGTGTATAAACAAAGAAATGTACCGAACTAGTAGTATCGTGCAAGATAAAGCACAGTCTTCAGTCAATCAGTACTGGAAACTTTTGAAACCTGCAGATAGTACTCATGATTCATCTGGTCCAAATTTGGAGGATTTCTTGAAACACTTCAGAGATATTAACCTATGTACACAAGATGGAGTTGTTACTGATGATAATATTGCCTTTGATACACATGACACTTCTATACTCAACGATGATATTACCTTACTAGAATTAACACATGCTGTGAAAAAAATTAAAAGAAATAAGGCATCAGGTATAGACTTTATAGAAAATGACTACCTCATTGACTCTTTGTACATGATTGGACCTTTATGTGTGACTTTGTTCAATCTCTTGTTGAAAACTAGAATAATACCAGAAGCTTGGCTAGCGGGAATAATCAAACCTGTATACAAGAATAAAGGAAAAAAGGACGACCCTTCATCGTATAGGCATATTACCATCTTGAGCTGTCTAGGAAAACTATTCACTTCTGTACTAAACACGAGGTTGTCTAACGTTTTAGACAGTAATGGTATTCTAAGTAATGTTCAAGCTGGTTTCCGCAAAGGGTTGTCCACAATCGATAATATCTCTGTTTTAAATATGCTGATGAATTTGCTTTAAAAACGTAAACAAAAGTTATATTGTGCATTCATTGACTTCTCTAAAGATGTGTGAAGCCCATTTCTGGTGTCCCCCGCCATGATGTTGCTTGAATATTGCTAAAAGCGGCGTAAAACCAAACTCAGTCTCTAAAGCGTTTGATAATGTTTGGAGAGCCGGTTTGTGGCATAAACTATTGAAGCAAGGTATACATGGGCGGTGTTTCGACTTAATACAAAATATGTACAAAAACATAAATCATGCGTATATGCAAATCATAAGAATTCAGACTACTTCCTGAGTGAGTGTGGAGTAAGACAATGTGAAAATCTATCACCACTATTGTTTTCGCTGTTCTTAAATGAACTTGAGTCACAAATTTCTGATGCTAATTGTGATGGTGTTCTTATCGACGGTTTAGATGTGAACATTGTTTTACACCTTTTTATTCTCTTATATGCAGATGAAGCAGTACTTGTTAGTCAAAGTCCTAAAGGACTCCAGAGATTATTAAATTCGTTCCGTATGTATTGTGTGCAGTGGAAACATGATGTCAATACATCCAAAACCAAAATTGTAATATTTGGTGGTGGAGTACCTTCTAAAAGTAAACATATATGCTATTTCGGAGAACATGTACTAGAGATTGTTGAATTTTACATGTATCTAGGTTTAAAAGTACATAGATCTGGTAGGTTGGTACACGCTATCAAAACTTTAATTGACTCAGGAACTAAGGCTATGGTCTGCCTTTTAAAAACGCCAACGTAATGGTTGTTCCCATTCTCTGCTATGGATGTGAAACCTGGGGACATGAATCACTGGATTTTATTGAAAAAGTTCACTTGAAGTTTCTGAAACTCATCTGTAATCTTAAAGTATCTACCCCAGCGTACATGGTCTACGGAGAAACGGGAAGGTATCCTCTGAGAATTAAGATTGTAAAGAGATTGATTAAATATTGGCACACCCTTGCTGTACCTAAAGTATCAAACGTTAAAAATTATCTAACACTTTACACAACTTCGTTGCACTACAAAAACAGCACTATGACTATCAGGATAAGTGGTTGAATGTTATTGAATGTACGTTAAATCATTTAGGTCTTAGTAATATTTTCAGAAATCCAGAATGTGTTAACACTGAATGGCTTTCCTTAAAGGTAGAACTAGTTTTAAAAGATCAATTTACTCAGAGCTGGTGGTCTTTAATGAATAATTGCCCTAAGGCTCTTTATTATAGGGCTATACAAGACTCTTTAACATTTGAACGTTACTTGTTTCTTCCAACTAATGTTTATATCCCAATTCTGAAATTCAGAACAACTAACCACCTTCTACGTACCCATTGAGATCGACCGCTGGGAGGGCATAACCAGAGAAAATAGAACATGTAAGTTATGCGACTCATGCGCTATGGAACCTCATTATTTACTGAGATGTAGTTATTTTAATGATAGTAGACTAAAGTATATCCCTTTGCAATACCTTAAATGGAAAAATCTGGTTACCTTCAAGCAACTAACGTGTACAAAGAAAACAGCAGAATTGAAAAAGCTATCTATGTTTATTAATAGTATACTATCACACTTTAAATGCTAACTGTGCCCCATTTTGTCATTTTTTAAGTAATCCATTGCTATGTACTCTTGTACCACCGCTGGGTGGTTGAAAGAGAAATAAAGAAGTTGAAGTTGAAGTAAGTTCAACGATGTCGTTGATATAAACTATAAACAAAAGGGGTCCTAAGACAGAGCCTTGGGGAACGCCGGCTAAGATTGATCTTTGATCAGACGCGTAACCATTTATAACAACTCGCTGACCTCTATTGTCTAGATAACTCTCAAACCATTTCAACAAGTTACTCCCGATACCATAACGTCTTAGCTTATGTATAATACCTTTATGCCAGACCTTGTCAAAAGCCTTACCGCTATCTAATGCACCGGTATCTTCCCATAAGACAGACTGCTTAAAACAACACATTTTATTGTTGGTTGCATAAGGCTTAATTAAGCTGTACCCTTGATAATAATGGTATGTTCCCAGATAAAAAAAGACAACAGTAGGTAGTAACTATAGTTTTATCAATTCATGTAATGAATTATGGTTTTTTAAATTAAGACATGTTGCATCAACATATATTTGCCAAATCACATTTACTTCTTTGATTGGCAGATCACATTTACTTGTGAATAGTATCAAAAACAATAATTTACAAACATTTACCTATCAAACATATGAGACCAAGCCGAAGGTCCCAAAACATCAAAGTCAATTTAGTTCTACCAGACTTTTAATTGTAGTATATTTATTATTATTAATAATAGCTGAACCAATGCACCCGCTATAAAGTCATACATTTACGTTAATTGATTTACCGTTGAATCGCCTGGCATGAAACCGGATTGTAAGTTTGTAAGTATTTCATTATCCCTAAAATGATTAAAAACATGTTTAAAAATGCATTTTTAGAAAATATTTGCTACACAGCTTGTTAGTGCGACTGGTCGATAGTTAGAGCATTCATTTATGCTGCCTTTTTTGTGTATAGGAACAACTGATGCCTCCTTCCAGATATCAGGAAACACTATTATTCTTTAATGATAAATTAAAAACTTCAGATAAGGGAACTGCTAATTGTCTTGCATTCATTTTCCAAAAAATATTGCCAATACCATCTGGGCCTGTTGCTTTAGTGATATCAAAAGAGGAGAGAATATCATGGATTTCTTGGGGACTAAGTGTTAAGTCACATAATGGGTTATCTACCTCTGAACGAATTACAGGATATCCCTATTAGGAGCAGCTACTCTTGCCTGATCTGCAAAGAAATCATTCATAATGTTTGCTGTTTCACTACTATCATCATATAGTTTATCGTTATGGATTATCGAAGGAAAAGTATTAATATTGGTGGTGTGTTTACTTTGTATATAATTCTTAACTAAACGCCACCACGTTTTTGTACCGTGTTCATTGTCTCTTTCTTCATCAAATTATTCATGTACATCTTCTTTGCATTTCTTACCGCGGATATCACTTTATTTCTACTCAATCTAAAAAGCGCGGGTCAGATGATGAGTTACGCCTTTTTGTGATTTTATGATGGCGATTGCGTTTACGAACCAATTTACGTACCTCTCTATTCATCCAGGGGGCGTCCTGGGGTGTTATCGTAATGACTTTATTTGGAATATAACTATCGCATAATTCAAGAATTGTACCAGTCAAGTCGCTTGGGATACGATTAATATTTTCAGAGGCACAGATAGCATGCCAATCAAGAGTTTATAAGGCATTTGTAATACCGTCAAAATCAACTAGAGTATAATTATATATTTTTATCTTGCAATTGATCGATTTTGCAATCGACTCATTGATGGTGACATATACAGGGCAATGATCGCTACATACATGATCTAAAACACCCGATTTAGTCCAGCGCTAACACTTGAAACAAAAATAAGATCAATTAATGTACAAGAACTGGGTTTTTATCCTTGTAGATTCAGTTATGAATTGTGTTAGTCTAAATAGCAGTTGTAATTGATTAATTATATAACTTGTGTCTGTAAGAAAATCAATATTAAAGTCACCAACTACAATTGTGTCCATATTAAGATCAGCAGCGTTATTGATAGAATCTTCGATTAAATCCCAGTAAGCTTCTGTTTTGCCCTGCACAAATAAGTATACTATATATAAATATTGTATAATATTTATGGTACAGTTACATTAGCATGTACAAATTACACACATTATAAATTTCCAAAATACTGTACATACATACATGATACATAGAGTACTTCTAATCTTTATATATGTTAGCGCCAATAAGGAAACTCAGCCAATAGCGTTACTGCCTAGTCAATAAGGTACTGCCTAGTCAGTAGCGTTACTGACTAAAACGACTAGACAGTAAGTTTACTGACTGAATTATATTTTCATTTTTCCGCTTATTGCCTAAGTCAGTAGTGTTACTGACTACAACATTTCAAAAATATTTAGATTTAAATATATATTTCTTTATTTCTCCATCGATAGTATAAGAGTGAAATACACTCTGTGAATACAAATCAGCTAAGCGAGAATTTAGACGATAACATCGTAAGTCTAAAAGGAAACAGCGTTCAGATACAAGCAAAGAATTAGAAAGATGATCTGATGCAGACATTGGTACTTTCTTTAAGTCAGTTCGCAAAATGAGGCGACAAAGTCCTGGTGTTAAAGAACTAGTAGTCGGTGACAAATGTGCAAATACAGCGGAGGATATTTGTGAACTCTGGGGTGATTATTTTGCTGATCTAGCTAAGCCCCACTGCTCTTCATCATTTGACAATAACTTCAAAATATCAGTTGACAGAAAGGTTACACATATAAGCCTGGAACACTTATCATGTGATGACGATGTTTTGTGTGAATGTATTGCAATAGACGAAGTAAAGGGACACATAAATAATCTCAATAAAAATATATCTCCTGGTCCGGATTATGTTCACAACAAACATCTAATCTATGGCAGTGATAGCATCATAAATGTAATAACTGCCCTTTTTAATTCTATTCTAAAGTCTGTATATGTCCCTAGCACATTTAGAAAAGGTGTAGTTATTCCAATATATAAAGGCAGAAACATGATCCTAAAATCTATAGAGGAATAACTTTAACATCTTGTATCGGAAAGCTCTTTGAGAAAGTAATTCTCGCTAGATTAGAAACCTGGGTGAAAGAGTATATACCAACATTTCCAGACAAGCTCCAGTTTGGCTTTAGAAAAGAACACGGTGCAACCACTTTAGTGTATACTTTAAATGACAGTTTATCCTACTACTTAAGCAGAGATTCACAGGTATTCACTACTTTTATGGATAACGAAAAGGCGTTCGATTGCATATGGCACAATGGACTCTTTTGAAAGTTATATGAAACGGGTATAAAAGGCAAAATGTGGCAGCTCTTATACCAAGGCTACACATCAACCTCTGCTTTTGTTCAATATTGTGGCTTAAAATCAAATGAATATGCTAGTATACAACAAGGCGTCGGACAAGGAAGGGTCTTGTCCTCCTGTTTTTTTCTATTTTTTATCAATGACATAATATGTGAACTAAGAACCTTAAACAATGGTATTCGCTTATACGGTATTGATATTCCCTGCATTTTATTGGCTGATGACACTACACTTGCTTCTACTTTTCCTAAAGGTCTACAGTCGTCACTTGACACTGTGTATAGCTATGCTCGTAAGTGGTGGCTTACATATAACGGTTCAAAGAGCACTTGCATTATATTCCGTAAATCTAATAAAGGCCAATGTGATTATTCCTTCAATTTTGGCAAAACAGACATTGCAATAAGTGATAGTGTCAAATATGGAGGTATCATGCTCTCCTCTGATTTATCCTCCAAATCTAGACTATACGCAAATTGTAAAAAAGCACGACAATCTGCAAACTCCCAAAGTAATCTCGGCTTAAACAGTACAGATCTCCACCCTACCTCCTGTGTAAAAATATGGAGGAGGATGATACTCCCCACAAGCTTTTATGGGTGTGAACATTTACCTATTCTGCATGGTAAAGACTATGAATTGGTCGAAAGCAGGCAAAGATACTTTGCCAGATGTATTCAGGGCTTTGGCAAACGTTTCTCATCTGCCTCGGTGCTAGGAAACCTTGGTATGTGGAGTATGGATGGCTACATAGATAAATGTAGACTTTTATTTCTTGGTAGATTATGCAACAGCCAATGCAACTCCTCCTTTGTGGATTTATTCTGTGCTCAATTAGCCACATTTCAAGATAGAACAACAGCGTCACATAGTATAAGTGACACGCTTCTTCAAACCATTATAAAATACAATCTTTTTAAATATGTGAGAGATTATCTTGAAATTGGGAAGTTTCCATGTAAATCCTCATGGCGTAAAACAGTTAATAACAGTGTTAATGAAACTGAAACTGAACGATGGGCTACTCAAGTCTGTATGAGACAGGATATGTCCAGATACCGCCTAACCCACTGTACCTTTGGTGTACATAGGCTATATTGTTTGATGTATGTTTATCCACAATATAGAGACATCTTAAAGTTTTGTGTAAAAATCAATTCTCGAGGACAATTTTCAAAATATTGTGAACTCTGTGAAAGACATTGTAATGACTATGACTACCATATAATTCTACCTTGTGAACATTATATGTACATCAGGAATCACTTCTTTTCCAAACTTTTAGATCTTTTTAATGTCAATGAGTAGTAGTACAGTGGGGGGTTCTGCCGCACATGCGGCTTAGGGATTATTTGTGGCACCTTTGGAATACTAATGGATGGGATTTTCTTGCTTTAGTGAGTGACTGAGCTAAAATGTTACATCGCATCGGCAATATTACAGCCATAGAGCGATGAAAACAAGGTAATCAATTTTAAATATCTGTCGACAAAGGACAGTAACACTAACTAGACTATCACAGATATATATTTAAAACTAGTAATGAAACTAAAATACTTTATAGAGGACGATAAAATATAAAAACAGGCTATAGATCGTCAACAACTGAAGGTTGATCACCATACTAGGAACCATGGGGACTTTTGCTACCTGCATGGACCCTAGCTGAATTTACATCATCCCTTCAGCCACTGGCCATTTTTTGATGCTTTAATATTAGAGACATAATCAGTCTTGCTCAGGATGTCTGTCTTCGACACGTTTCTTTGTTCTAGTACTTTTTATTTGATTTAGATTTAATGACGCCCTATGAGCATGACATTCAAGACAAGATGGCTGCCGTGGAGTTGGACGTAATAAACAACATTTGCTGCGCATGACGACGACATCGTCTCTTCAGTGTCATGGTTTACAAACGAAATTGGATAAAAACATGACCTGGACATTGCTCCATGTTTCATCGGGTTTAATTTGCTGTGAGTATTCCACCTGAACAAAAACATCGCAATAAGATTTACAAATGGTTGACGAGCTTTGCAATGAACACAATGAACAGAGAAACGCTTATCCAGAAAAAATGTTAGCTTTGCAGCCTCGGACTCCTAGCCCCGTGACCTTGAAGATTGACCCAGCCAATGGTGTTTTCTCCAGTTGTGCTGGGGTCATCATGAACTGCGATGATGTGACGTAGAGGTCGGTGAAGTCCACTCCGCCGAAACAACATGACGTTATCCTTTCACAAGGGAACTTGACAGCTCGTATCACCTTTCCTGGACAGACAAAATATCAATTGATTTCAGTCAACTAATAATTCGCAAAACATTCTGAGCAAACTTTGTTTGTTGTTAAACTTTCACTAAGCGAGACTCCAGCTACATGACAACAGTCTGTTACTTTGTAATCGTGTCTGTCAAATTCAGTGTAAAACATATCGTAGCATCGGTGTACTTAAATGCAATACGATGACATGCCTCAACAAAGTCACCGGGCCTGACCATCAATTTACGTTTCGGCTCCGAAAACATTCGTCCGTCGCTGAAGATTCTAACTGAGACATCACAAATAATCATCATACCATGAGACCACTCGTCCAAGAGTCACAACTCCTTTTAACAATAACAAACGAAACTTGAACTGGGACTTTGTTTCTACCGGTGATTGAAGTTTACGTGTCACAATGACCTCTGTGGAATGTATTGGAATACACTGTCAGATAACGATTTTACCTTGGACATTAAATGGAAGCGACAAAACCGATCTCACACCCAGAAGAAATCTCTGTTAAAGGCAGAGTCGATTGTACAATTGTTTTAAGCAGTATTACACATTGTCATCACAAGTTTAAGAATCACTTTAAAATAGTGATGATACAAGGTGAGCGATCCTGCCTCATCAGTGGCACGCGACCGTCATAAACATGTGCAACGTCTAGTCAATGTATTCACCTGGAATAATTCGGGAAGGTATGGTCAAGTCAAAATTAATCTGTCGATGACTGGTTATCTAACTACTTGTATTTATCGTGTATGTACAACTTTTCTCGTCACTATATGGCTGACATATTGCCGAGGTGACGTTAAATTATAACTCACTCAAGTCAAAATTACTACACGCCCTACAACTATTTATCACAACAATACTGGAAGATGGACTAACTTTTCTTTCTACAGATTTACCATTCGTCACCACTGTGCATGTCGACTTACCAGTCTCGGGATCGAGTCGGATAACTTTCCCAGCCTCATAACAGGCCACCCATAATTTCCCCTCTGTGTCAATGGCCATCCCATCAGGATACCCCATATCTGGAATTTCAGTAGAGCTGAAGTCTGCTACAGTTCTCTGATTGCCTGAAACAAATCCAAAACAAAACGGTGACTACACAAGAAGGTGGTTGTCCTGAACCTCTGAACCTTTAGAAAATTTGTGAAACACCACGATTCAGCTAAAGTGGAGGTTTATTGGAACCCCGGACATCTTTAGGTTCTTCTATGCTTGTTCTGTTACAATCGTTACGCAGAATGATGTTGCAATAAATTCACTATACAAAGATCCCATCCGATATAACGTTTTGTACTTTTGTATAGATCTATGTCTGTTGTTACAAACACAACGTGGCAGCCAGAGTATTGCAGAACCCAGAAAGGATACAAATATACACTACAAGTAACAACGTGTTATAAAGGTGTCCACTAAAAAGCTGGAAAGTTGAGGAGTGCGGCATTAAACAACAAGCAAAGCGTTAAAGTGTTATTATATACTTTGGAAGTGGGAAGATTAACTCGGGAGATAACTTAAGACATCTGGTAAAATTGACACCGATATTTTCGCATGGAAAGGCAAATATGGACATCATTCTTATACACTTTCACACACGGTTCTACTATTAGGTCAGTCACGAGTTTAAACTGAAGGCAGCGAACATTATGGGAAGTGGGACATCTTGGCCCTTGGTATGCAACTGTTACACTTCGTAAGTGAGGTCCACATATTTGCCTTGATCCTGACCTCACTACTCGCACAAAAATCTGAGAATATGATATATACGACGTCTTAAAAACAAGGTCCGGTCTGTTGACTTCGATGCGCTTCAGGCGGTTATATCGGTACCTATTCCAAAGAGTTTTTGTTTAAGAGGCATTCTAGAAGTTCGTGGTATAGAGAAGACAAAACTTTACCTAGCATTAAAGCGGAATAAGAATCAATACCGAAACGTCGTTACTGTGAAGATAAAGAAATTGATCATCCATAAAGTTTTGTCTGGATCGAACCAGGGATGTACCACTGAGGCACAACCACAAGCGTGGCGAAGACAGGGCGAATACAAGGACTGAACCATGCCGCCGTTTAACACGACTGTTTATCACGAGTATACTCGCGTAATCCCCCTTATTGTAACAGAAGTTATCTAGTAGCTACATCAGTGGTATTTTTAACAAATGTCACATGTTGACAAAGTAGGCACAAGAAGCAATGGTCTCCTGGTGGTTTTGTGGTTCTTTTATTTGTTACCGCAAAGAGACGATTGCAGTAAATGACTGGAGGTTCGTATTTTGGATGTTCAACATGCCAATGTTAACATATGCTATATTTGGGATTACACTTTCTTAGTAAAGTACAGATTTGATGTTTTGGTGTTGAGTTGGTGGACGAATGGTTTTGATAAGTGACTTCAGTATCTGTAGAACTACTCACATTGCACCAATGGAGGCATGGAACATAATTCAAGACAGAGCTTGTGCCCTGGCTGCTTGGTGTTCCCGAGTACTTACTTATAGTGCCTGCTGTGATGTCAAAGTCGAACGCCCAGACCTGCCTTGGTATGGAGTCGATGTAGTACATGACGCTGTTGTCGTCAGTCCAGTCCATGCCGTTGCTGATGCTGATGTTACTGATGTGTTTTTTGACGCTCCCATCAGCATCCAGACTGTACAATGAGCCCTGATGCTTTGGCCACTTGTCGGCCTCTGGGATATCCTTACCACAGAAAGTAGACCCTGTGTGGAAACTATCATATTATTATTCTTGGAGAATATCAACACATTGCATAAAGCAGCATGTCTGAGAGATCTATGTATCTGTACCTGAGCGGACACTTGAAATTTAAATCTCAAATTGATTTGTACAACATTCTGAATTGGTGAGTCTCGTTATTCCAGTTATATTACGGGGTGTGAAGCAAGTCTGGAATTTTTCGAATTTTGTAAACCCAAGCACGGATATGGCACTGAGCAATCTAGAAATACAACCGAAACGGGATTCGAACCTACGATGATAGATGTTCACTTGGTGCTCAGGTGTCGCAATGTACGAAAATGCGGCGTTTCAAATTCGTCCTGAAAAATGTATTAATCACATGAATGTCTTGTAGCGGGTCCTATACGTCTTCTGAATTTCTCTGTCCTGTGCATGTTGTAGATGGTGATGTGCAAATTATTCTCGTCGCTATATTGAAGGCGATTTTGCTAATAAGACCTCACACACTCACGGGAGTTATAGTTCTACATTTCTCGATTAACAACACTACTTTTGTGCATGCTCAATGGCTGAGATCTGAATGGTCGTTGCACCGAGGAAGCTCAAAAGCAGACCCCAGAACGGGAACCTACCGAACCAAAGTCTTCCGGAAGCATCCACTTTGCCGTCATTGAGCATATTAGAGTCGGCCTCGACCTTGGCAATGCTGGTGACCTTGCCACTGTCCCAAGAGTCCAAGAAGGCGAGGTCTGTCTTCTGACTCACCACGAATCCACCCTTTTGGCGCGGGATGATGAATTTCACTGTTGAGTCTCCATTAATGAAACATGATGATATGACACTTCAGATAAGGAAAGTAACAATGAACAACTAAAGGGAAGCTTCTGCTTGGCGCCCGAAGAATGTGGCAATGGAAGACCTAATCGCAGTTACGTTTGGGATTTTTAAGACAACAGATGCAAAAATATGCGAAATGTAATGTGTGCAGTTGTTTGGTCCACGTGCATGAAGAAGGGGAAGAATATATACTGGATGTAACAATGTAACTGTCAACCCCTTGTGTCCCGCACCTCCTGCAACCAAAAGACCCAAACCCAGATTCAGCCCCAACTATCAAGATATCCATCCCGTAGAACTACATTGGCAAACCGTCAACCCTGTCATCAAATCAGCCGTCTCCCTAAATTGGCAAACCGTCAACAAGCTGGCATAGATACCACCTTCTCCGCGTCCTCCAACCTTAACAACATTCTCCATGCCAATGGAAGAAAACCCGCCACCGTAAAGAACAACAACCCAAAATGTGTCATCTACAAAATAAACTGTGATTGTGGGCAGAGCTACATAGGCGAAACGTCCCGACCCATCAACACCCGAGTGAAAGAACATCAGACCTCTGTTACCAATTCCGACAGCAAATCAGCCATTTCCGACCACATCAAAGCAAGCCCCAATCATCAAATAGAGTGGTCTGACATCACCATTCTCTCTAACAAACAAACAGACTTCACTAAACGCAAGCTCACCGAAGCCATCCACATCAAACGCCAAAGCCCACCATCAACCGAGACCAAGGATACTTCATTCCATCCGCTTATGATGCACTCATCCACCAAGCCCAATCTACTGTATAAACTCTGCTGTATAAACATCTCATTATTATTTGTACATCATTGGCTTCCACGCCTGTCCTTTGTCTACTCTCTGGCTTCATCAGCTTTCTGCCTAGCCAATTATGTTAATTATGTTGTTTTCTTTGTTACATTGTTACATCCAGTATATATATACTTCCCCTTTCTTCATGTTCCATTATGCTTGACAACGGTACAAGAATCTGTATCGAAACGTCGCACTCACGAATAAAAGAAGTTGTTATCCATAAAGTTGTTATCCATAAAGTTTGTTCTATATAGGGTACAGAGCAAATGAATGCCACACAATACTGTCACTTTGGAAAGCTTAACCCCTGCCCTTGCGATCGTTCACAAAATTGAACGGCTATTGAAACGCACAGCATGCCAAGGCTAGCGCTCACGTCTGCACAACGTCATGAGGCCATTGGGATGGTCCGTGGGGAGAATGTCTCAACGACAAGTGGCTGCACATTTCAACTGCCACCGGAACACCATTTCTGCACTGGTGAGACGCTACCAGAACACAAATGACGTCATCGATCGGCCACGTTCTGGACGTCCACGTGTAACAACGCCAAGACAGGACAGATGGATAAGGGTGATCCATCTTCGCCACAGGTTTCAGACTGCAGTGATGACTGTCCGAACCATCCCAGGACTTCGCCGTATCCACCCCAACACAGTTCGACAACGTTTACGTCATCACGGGATCAGACCACGACGTCCCACCATAGGGCCTATCCTGACACAACGTCATCGGCAAGCTCGCCGAATGTGGTGCCGAAATCATGTCCGCAGATCCTTGCTTTGGTGGAGAAATGTTGTTTTTACAGATGAGTCCAGGTTTAACATTTCCCATAGTGATGGACGTCAACGTGCCTATAGACGCGTGGGAGAACGTTATGCACAGGCCTGTGTCTTGGAGAGGAATCGGTTTGGTGGTTGTTCCGTGATGATTTGGGGTGGAATAACAGCACGCCAAAGAACTCCTTTGGTGATTGTTCAGGGCAACTTAACCGGTGTGGGCTGTTCTTCGACCTGTGGCAATTCCTTTTCTGCAACGTCATGGCCCTGGGTTAACATTCCAACAGGACAATGCCCGCCCTCATACGACAAGGGTTGCTATGGATTTCTTGCAACACCACAACGTTGACTTACTGCCTTTGCCTGCAAATTCACCGGATCTCTCCCCGATAGAGCATGTTTGGGACGAGATGGATCGACGTCAACGCCGTCTTCCTCATCCGCCAGATAACGTCCTTGACCTTGCAACAGAACTTGAGAGAATCTGGCGTGACATCCCACAAGCCTTCCTTGCACGTTTGATAGGCTCTATGCGTCGTCGATGCACTGCTGTTCTCAATGCCGATGGTGGACATACCCGTTATTGAGCTTGTGACATGGTCGTTTGACCCCTGTCCCGCTTGTGGACTCGTGACGTCATTGTGATTGACTTTTCAATTGAAATTCTCCCGACTTGTTATGGTCTCATGATCCCTCCATGAAAGTTTATATGTACCTTTGACATTGTTATCGTACTTATCAACTGGGATAATATTTTGTGGCTAGTAGAGATACGTTTCAGTTTAGTGATCTCAGTGTTTCTGTAGATCAGAATTAAAATAAAAGATATTGTCATATAAAATTAATTTCTGGAAAACCTCAACCTAATTGAAAGAATATGGAAACTTAAGACACTACTTTGTCTCCTTTACGTTCTGTTTGGTAAACATACAGATAACTTAAACTTACATTACTGAGAAACAGGTAAGGCTTCAGTAGGTTTCAGTTATCCTGATTCCTGAAACGCAGAGGAAATTAATTTGACTCCATATCTACCAGCATATACAGCATATATCCAGAAAAGTACATTAACCTACGTAAATAACTGAAACCAACTGAAAGCAGAGGATAAAAGAAACCAAATGGAACCTCTTTGGAATCTTGGTAACTGAAACTCACTGGAGGTTTACGGGAATCTGGGTTACGGGAACGCACTGGAGCCCCTACAGGAATTTGTGTAACGGAAACGCACTGGAGCCCTACGGGAATATGTGTAACGGACACGCACTGGAGCCTCCCGGGAAACTGGGTAACGGAAACGCACTGGGGCCTTACAGGAAACTGGGGGCATACCGGTCTCTGGGTTATTTGTAAGGTTCCGCTTTTCGGAGACTTGAAGGAAATGTAGTGATACGGTGCGGAAACCTAACTGAAACTTAAGTTTCCATTTTGTTTCCGGTGTCCGGAAACCAAGTATTTTTTCCCGTGCAAAAAGCAGCACTCAACAAATGTGGGACACCACCTCTTCTACCACATAGTAATCTCAAACCTGTCATTAGATCTTACATGCATGATCTGATGCAAAAGAAGTTGGACACCGTAGTAGGTGTCAATAAATTACATGCAATAAAACCAAATATAGGTTACACCTACTTGGGCTGTCAGTCCAGATTTGAAGAGGTCATTATGCGACGGTGTCGTATTGGCCATTCTCGTTACACACGTGAATACTTGTTAAAAGCTGAGGATTATCTTTTCCGTATCCCTTGTGATGAGAGCATCACAGTCAGTCATATTTTGCTGGACTGTGTAGATGTGTCTGTCACAAGGGATCTATATTATCATTCCGCTAGTCCAAAGGATACTTTTAGTAATGTCAGTGCTCATTTTATTCTTGGCTTTTTATGAGAAATTGAATTGATAGACAAATTTTGAAATCGATATGTTTTTTTAAGTTGATTAATATTACGATCAACTGAGAACATAGATGGTGGTGACACTAAGACGGTTAAAGTAATCTAAAAATATTGTCCTTCTTCCATTCCATTGTTGATCAAACTACATGATATTGTCTAGTCTTTCAGAATTTTGATTGACTTGAGTCTTTTGAATATTGGCTAGCATAACCTACAGCCACTGATGACCAGAGGTATGGCGTAAATCCTGCTGGGAAATCATGTAGGAAGCAAAGGCACTGTAAGTCCCTTTGATCCCCAGTAAGGTGCTCAAACTAACTTGTGGTTGTTAGTGGTTTATAGCTTGGTTCTAATTGGTGAGAATGAATCCGTCGAATCTTCTCATCTTGATTATCATCAGGTTGGTTTTATTTTAAAACTGTGATATACCTACCTATTTTACTGCCCTTACTAACGTGGATATTTACAGATCATAGTTATAGAGCTGAGATATTTGAAATCTAACCAAACGGGCACACGAACTGGCAGAGTTTACAAATGAACTCACCTCCAAGGTTCAGTCGGCTGTCGTCACCTGTGACGGCGTTGTATCTGTGGACGTCATCAACGAAACAGTCCAGGTAGTACAGACACTGTGTGGTGTCGTCCCAGTGGGGTCCCTCCCCATGCCGAATGTTCCTCACAACGACCTCAATCTTCTCAGACATAATCTGACGGAGGAGGTACAAGCATATAAATAGAGAGTGGAGAATAGGTTGTTACATTATATTCGCCCTAATTATAGACTGACCTCATGAAATTTAACACAGAAACGGAATACTTGTTAGGTTGTTTATTGTTTAACGCTGCAGTCAGGAATATTCCACGGGGAATAGTCCAAAGCCAGCGAGCCTGACCGCCCAACAACCCCCTTAATTCCCCATAATCTTGACCTATGCGTTACTTCAAATGAATCCATGAATGTTAAATAATGATTTAAAGCCTGATAAATAACTGGATGGACGGTTCATTCAGCCAACTGTGCAGCCTCATCCTGACCAAGCTGATAAACTGATGGTCCGCCCTTGGCATATGCTAATGCAAGATCGCATATATCCCATGTTCATCGTTAAGGATCCGGTGATCATGCTCATGATCAGATTGCATGAATCATTGCTTGTCAATCAATTATGTGGGGAGTACAAACACAAATTGTGATGTATTTCCCCAAACTTTTGATGTTCAGATTTCTTTTTAAAATGAGTGATATACAGACAAAAGTGAAAAGGAAATGATGATTGTGTGCGCTACTCTCCATTAATAACATCATGGGATCATGTTGTTGGAGCATTGCCAGGTGGTGCGTTAGCAAAATAGCAAACATTTTGTGATGTAAGCGGTGTGATGACTGACACACGCACACACAACTGAGAGCTCTTCGGGACAACCTGAGGACGAATCGTCTTAAATCGGTAACAGCGCAAACAACTGCTGCCTGTACTCACCGAAATGTGTCGTGTGCGAAATGCACAATGTTTGTCCTTTGTACTCCACCCTGACCTCAATCTCCACGTGGTTCACCTCTCAACTGACAGAGTGCAACACAAGGGTAAGACACACCAGCCGTAGTGTTATTTGATAGTCTGTTTGCATGACCCAGTTCGCATGTGGCCTAGTTTTCTCAGGTGAGGTGAAATTGCCGCCAGTCGTTAATGTCTAAAAAAAGCCATACTCATCACACCCGGCTAGGATTATTAGAATTTAAGGGTCCGTTCAGAATTTAGGGCTAGGTGGGTGGGGGTGATGATGTTTTTTTATGGAGAAGCATGGACATCGGGGCTGCACAATCCCAGCAACATTTGAAGCTTGGATCACCGGGAAAATCTCTCTGTAAGTATACTCGGCGTCATTAATTAAGGGTCAAACTATTAGTAACTAAAAGTTGTAAAATCTTTGTTTTTGTTTGAAATGCATGTATATGCAACTGAATGCTTTACAAACTTTTCCAACGGTATAGAAAACACATCAGGTCGTTGAAATGTCATTATTACGTCCCTTGACGTCCGATACATTCTGTTAGAAATGGCACATTATTTTATCAAATTGTCAATATGGAAATCCACCTGCCACTTAATGTCAATGATTTGCTTTTTCTCCGTTGTTCACTGTACCAAAATCACTCTATCCATGGAAAGTGGAGGACAATATCACATGCATTGATGCTTGTTCACTGCCGTTCACTGTTCAGGTACCAAGTTTGAAAATGAGATGTTTTGACACTTGCTGAAACAACCAGGGTCAGGCTATAGGCATTTTGGCACGTCGGCATATGGTCAAACTCAGCGGCAGGTTGCTGTCCGCTTTACCTATAGGCCTTCTGGTCAATCAGTGAGGTCACAGTGCTATTGTTAGACTGTGGCAGAGATTTCACGCCAATGGATCTGAGGAATATGGACATCGACCAGGTCGCCCTAGAGTCACAACAGTCTGAGACTATAGGCACACGATTAACACTGCATTACGTAACATATATATTAACGCAGCAGATCTTCGGACAGAACACTTCAATGTTAGTAATGTAAGGATATCCAGGAACACCGTTCGTCGATGTTTAAGGGCAGCCTGACTCCGCTGTTAGCGACCTGCAGTTCGTCCACCACTAACACCACGTCACAGGCAGGCGCGTTTGAGATGGAGTAGACATCATGGCCGCGGGAAGCAACGTCAATGCTCTCGTGTGCTCTTCACAGAGGTGAAAGCAGATTCAATTTGTCCTTCCATGATGGTCGGCAGAGGATTTATCGTCGCAATGGAGAGCGAATCACAGATGCTACTGTGGCCATGCATAACCGAATTGGCTGGGAGTCGGTCATGGTTTGGGCAGAGAACTCCTACATTTTCATTTTGGGGGGTTGGTCTATACAACTCATGTTTGCTGGTGCTGTTTGAACATTTTGTCTGTATGTCACGATATGTCTCGTTTGTCAACACATTAAACATTATGATGACACTCGTAGTTCCATTGTGTCTGAGAAACATTTCTTTACACGTGCTATAGTTGTTTTGACCCTTTATTAATGACGCCTATTACAAAATGAATCTCTGTGTATTTCTGAACTGTTGGCTAGAGGCCCGTACTACAAGTGAAATCGGTTATAATGGATGAATGGTACCTCTGAAGTGAGGTGAAACACACATTAGACAAGTCTAAAAAGTTTCACAATCATGACACCTGACTAGGAATAATAAAAAAGAGAGATTTGGAAGGATGAACTTGGAGTTCCCCCTTTCCAGGCAAAATCTGAACCTGCGATCACCGGCAAAATATTTCCTTAAGTAAAGTTGATCATACACTTTTCAACACATACAGGAGTGGTAACTAAAGAGGTGGTTAAACTTTATTCTTGAGATATCTCTTAAAAGTTTCGTATGAGGTCACACAACGGCTTGATGTACGCACACTGACATGCCATGCTTATGTAAAAGGCGTGGTTTTTACGAAACTACCATCGCCCTGTGACTAACATTACAATTGAACCCAGTTTTCCTACACTTACAAAGATGTTCCGTTGCTTTACGTTGTTCCGAATTGCTATACAAGTGAACGTTCAACATAAAGATAAATAGCCCAAGATTGCAGGACCGAATTTAATGTTTACAAAAAGTTGGATAAAACAGATGTCTTCTCACCTCTCATTATCTGATTGTCCGGATCTCTAGGAGCGTCTGAAGTAAAGTGTTCAAAAATAGGAAAATATGGAAACTTTTCGAAACGATTTCTTATAGCATTTTGTCTTTTGTATACGTATAGGGTGTGTCGACGCCTTCACGGCAGAGATAGAAGACCCTCTCGTCTATAAATGTTATTCTAAGATGCCTAGCGGTTAGAACAATCGAAAAAAAACATTATCAGACAATAAAGGTATAGTTTTTGATGACGTAACAATTGAATGACGTTATCCCGTCACTGCGCCATTCTAGTGTGCCCCTCGTAATCGAACCATTTTACATTACGTCACAATGTAAGCGACGTCACGATGCATGTCAGTTGTCATCGCCTCGTACGGCCTCCTACAGTAAACTACACCGTTGCATCCAGTTTCTTGGTTTGCTGTTGCTTCACGCAGCTAACATCACTGGTGGAAACATTACGTTTATGTTTACGACGGTTAAAATGTGTCATTTCGACTCACAAGTTTTCAGCGACACGGTAACGTTCGTAATGTTTACATTCCCACAATGCAATTGTGGAATGTCGCTTGACTACTCAACTTCCTCTGGATGTACTGATCTAAACTTACGCTGGTAGTAGAAATGCAACGTTCATATTGCCCCATATGGTTTACGTTAATGACAGATGTAATTAAAATAATTCAGAGAAGATATTTAATCGAACGTAAACCGTCATCAAACTGTTATCATTTGTTTTTTTCTGGTAACGTTCGTCTTAACGTAGGGGGCAGACACATCAATAGAACAGCGCGCCAGTTAGCCCTGTGCGAGGATTCTTAATTTAGGTCACCGACACCGTCGTTTGTTTTCTGCCTTAAATTAATCGTAATTATCTTTAGAAAGTATTAAATTTGGCATCTTAGAAAAGAAATACACTTCGCCCTACCACCATGTATAGTGTAATAAAACACACTTTCGCCCTGAACTATTATAACGTTAAAGCACTCGGACGCAAGCGTCCTCGTGCTTTAACAACATGGTTCTGATACAGATATAGAATTCAAACAACGGACGGCCTGATCGACTGGAGACATCGACGTCAAAGTTCCCTTCGTCTTACATGGATGATGTAGACGTGTAGACATCGTCAATCATCATCACCCATGTTTCCAGGAACATATGTGTTGTAATGGTGTCTGGCTGGAACCTGCCGCAGATGTGACTGGTTTGAGTCCCTCGGTCTTGACGTGGGGTAGTTATTCTTTGTTTCTGTGATGTTTAACGCCACGCTCAAATATGTCACAGCAATAGGGAGGTGGTCTGTAAACAATCGAGTCTGCACCAGGCAATAGATTGATCAACAGCATGAGCGTCAGTCTATGCAAAGTGGATACGATGACATGTGTCAACCAAGTCAGTGAGCCTGACCATCCGATTTAGTCGCCTCTTACGACAAGCACGGCGTAAAACTAAACTCACTCACTCACTCACTCACCCCCCGTAAAAAATTGAGTCTAGACCAGACAATCCAATAATCAACAACATGAGCATCGATCTATGCAATTGGGACGCAATGACATGTCAACCAAGTCAGCGAGCCTGACCACCTGAACCCGTTAGTCACCTCTTACGACAAGCATTCGCGCTGAGGACCAGTCAGCTTGTCATTCAGGGCAAGATGGCTCACGTGGATTTTGCATGTAAAACAAACACATTTGCTGTACGATATCGTCTTTTCAGAGTCATGGTCTACAAACGACTTTGTATAAAAACAAGATCTGTACATAACCCCATAATTTGCTTTGAGTATTCCACCTGAACAAAGCATCGGAATCAGATTAACAAATGGTTCACGAGCTTGGCTCTTGAAAACGCAAAGAACAGAGAAACGATTATCCAGAAAAAATGTTAGCTTTGCGGCCTCGGACTCCAAGCCCCGTGACCTTGAAGATAGACCCAGCCAGTGGTGTTTTCTCCAGTTGTGCTGGGGTCATCAGGAACTGCGATGATGTGACGTAGAGGTCGGTGAAGTCCTTTCCGCCGAAACAACACGACGTTATCTTTTCACATGGGAACTTGACAGTTCGGATCACCTTTCCTGGACAGACAAAATATCATTTCATTTCAATCAACTAATAATTCGCAATACATTCTGAGCAAACTTTGTTTGTTTGTAGCTAAACTTTCACTCAGCGAGATTCCAGCTACATGACAACAGTCTGTTACTTTGTAATCTTGTCCGTCAAAGATAATCCAGTGTTAAAAATATCTTAGCATCGGTGTACTTAAATGGTACACAATGACATGCTTCAACAAGGTCACCGGGCCTGACCATCAATTTCAGTTTCTCCTCTTAAAACAGCCGTGGGTCGCTAAAGATCGGTTCTAACCCGGAACATCAGGGGCTTAGTTCAAGTAAATATGGAATGTCAACGAACATTCATTCAACCGTGAGACAACTCTTCCAAGAGCCACAACTATCTGGCCCCTGTAAGAGTCCCATATAACAATAACGAACGAAACTTGAACTGGGACTTTGTTTCTACCTGTGAATGAAGTCCACGTGTCACAATGAAATCCGTGGAATGTATTAGAATACACTGTAAGATAACGCTTTCACCCTAGACATATAATAGAAGACACCCATAAGAAGCCTCTGCTAAAAGCAGAGTCGGTTGTACAATACTATACCATGAGTTGCTTCAGCAGTATTACAGATGTTGGTTGTAAACAAGCAATACTTGACCAGATAATCCAGTGATTGTCACCACGCAATACGATGACAGAACATATGTTTATGAATCACTATGAAATAGTGATGAAGCCAGGTGTTCGAGAAAAGGTGAGCGTATCTTGCCCCACCGGTGGCACCCGTCATAGATATATGCAACGTCTAGTCAATTTAATCTCCTGAAATATTTCGGGAACGTATTGTACAACTCAAAATTACACCATGCCCTACAAACAGTGTTGGGAAGCGAGACAGTGTTCATATATATTAGCCAGGTTTTTAAAATGAGATCAAAACTTATTACACCAGTACTGAAAGATGGACTTTTCTTTCTACAGATGTGCCATTCGTCACCACTGTGCATGTCCACTTACCAGTCTCGGGATCGAGTCGGACAACTTTCCCAGCGTCAAAACAGGCCACCCATAATTTCCCCTCTGTATCAATGGTCATTCCATCAGGAAACCCCATATCTGGGATTTCAGTAGAGCTGAAGTCTGCTACAGTTCTCTGATTGCCTGAAACAAATCCAAAACAAAACGGTACCTTGGCAGAAATGGTGCTTGTTCTGCCCCTCTGAACCAAACGTGTGTTTGTGGAACATTCCGATTCGGGAAAAGTGGAGGTTTTTATACTCTATATAGCTTTCTGTTAGACTCAGAACAAATGGTTGTTCTCCTACCATCATTAGGCATTTGACTTGTGGTGTGATTCACTGTACAAAGATCCTACCGCTGGAAGTCCGAACAACATGACGATAACATTAGAATGATTGCAATTTAGTATACATCTGTAATTCCATAAAAATAATTTATACAACATGTGAAAGATTAAGTTTAAACAATCTTAAATTTGGAAGTGTGAAGATTATTTCCGGAGGGACATCACACGATATGTGATAAAAAGAGGCACTGAGATATTACATATGGTTCTACTTACTAGGTAATATTTGGGGGTTATCATACTTAATCGACCCTACTTAGAAATGTGCGATGAATGTGTAGACACCTCAACACCACAGCCTTCTGCATTCCCAATGTCTGTAATGTACGAAACCTAAGCCAGTAAGAGCAATAAGATAGTCGGACTACTCTTGTCAATCACATTAATGCCAAAAGGGACAGAGTACTGATTTCATAAATCTAAATAAACGATTTCATTGGATTTATCAAAAACTGTAAGGTCATGTTTGGATGCTCTGGGTTCATGGGAGGCTGTATACGAGGCTGTTGCGAAGTACTCTACAATTATCTTGTTCTGTAATTTCCATGGCTTCTAGATATTATGGGAAGTACCACTGTCCAAAGGTACTGAGCCATCAACAAGTCAAGGGAGGGTGGTTTCATATATTGTCTGACATAATTCTGCATGACAGGGTGTCAATAATCTGAATTCCTTGTTTCGTCCAATCAACAACACCGAAAGAATAAAAAAAAGACTAGCGTTGATTTTGACGTCCAGCCTTTCTGAACTCTACCCGAAGTTTGGTCTCTATACGGGTCTCTGGATTTTGTCTCCCACCTGCATTCCTGATCAATTATGGGCCTGACCTTCCACGAGATAGCCAATAGCCCTTCACTCGTGTAAGTGAGTCATAGCCCTGATCCTCTCTCTTTTGTGTCCATCGCTGACAGATTTTGTAATCCTAATATATTAAATATTTTATATTCCGTGCTCTTTGTTAAGTAAAAGAAAACAAAAATGATAGCAAGGAGAAACGCAAGTGACAAATAGAATCGTCATTAAATATTTCTCAAATAGAAATGGTTTCCGAGGGCAGTATCTGCCCTGGCAAATACATCTCAAGTTGAGTTAACCAGCAATTCATTAAAGTCTTTAGCAATCGCTTGGGGAGGTCGTTACATTCCAGGGATCTCGAAATCTAGGTTATTATTATGTACAGATTAAAATACATAAATGCTGGAAAGACGTGCGCATAATTATTGATGATTGACGACGATTGTTAACTGCGTTCTAATGTTTCTGTCATGTGGAAGGGAGAGTCCAGAGTCGATATGAATTTGTGCCCAGTGGTTACACCTGGGGGTAGATCTTGCCCGCAGGTGTGACAAGAGCGGGCAACAAAATTCAAGACTGAACCTTACCCTTGGTTGTACCCGAGTCCACTTACTGATATTCCCAGCTTTGATGTCAAAGTCGAACGCCCAGACCTGCCTTGGTATGGAGTCGATGAAGTACATGACGCTGTTGTCGTCAGTCCAGTCCATGCCGTTGCTGATGTTGAGGTTACTGATGTGTTTTTTGACGCTCCCATTAGCCTCAAGACTGTACAATGATCCCTGGCCCTTCGGCCACTTGCTGGGGTCAGGGATATCTTTACCACAGAAACACGACCCTGTGTGGAAACTGTCATGTAGTTATTCTTGCAGAGGTTCTTACATATAATATCAATTATGTTAAGATCTCAAGGAAATTGGTCACGATTGGATGATTGGGTGAGTTTTACACGCCTCAGTGTTCAAATATTCCCTTTAAAGCACGGTGTGCGGTGCAAGGCTAAGCCGTTTACGATTTTACTGAAAACCCACAAGCACGGCTATGGTGCTGGCAACCCTCAAAATTAATGGCGTCCAGCATGATTTCGAACCCACGAAGACAATGGTTCATGTTTCCGCCACAAGAAATTGCAGTGTATAAGACGAATAGGACTGGCATGTCCAAAATTCATTATGAATAAATCCAAATGAATGTAGTTGTAGCTCACAAACCTTTGTTTCAGTGTATCGTTATATCTGTTGCATGTTTTTAATGGTGATGTGTAGCTTGTTCGTGTCGAAATGTTAAATGAAATTTTGCTAATGTGACCTTAAACTGTCCCTCACTCGTTGAAGTTGTAATTCTCTATTTCGTGTTTTACATCCCGATTTCGGTTACAGTGCATATTCATTAGCTGAGATCAAAATAATGTTTGCACTAAATATTGAGATAACCCTTTTCACATTCATTCATGAGTCGATTGTACAATTGTGACAATATCATGAGTATATATTTGGGTCAGCAGTATCACAGAGACAATGCCAGACGGATGGGGAATTAAAGATAATAAATTTCATTTCAATGTTTTCAGATAATCTGGAATTTTACTTGCAGTGACATAGCTGTGATGCTGGTTACTGGCGCCAAACAATACTCACTTACTAAACACGAGACCCAAGAACAGGACATTGGTTTGTATTACATATTGAATAGGTAAATCGAAGCGTGTGATGCGAGTCTGGAGATTTTCCACTTTACTGAAATCCATAAGCACGGTACTACTACACCAAACTACTGGGTTCGATCATAGGTTCCTGCTGTCCCAAAACGAACAGTGACATGCAGTGCCTCAGACTATTTGTCACTGTTGATTAGTGTAAAAACAACACTAACCCACATATTCAACACTAGACACAAGAATATATAAACATACCAATCCAGAGTTTACCGGAAGCATCCACTTTGCCGTCATTGAGCATATTAGCGTCGGCCTCGACCTTGGCAATGCTGGTGACCTTGCCATTGTCCCAAGAGTCCAAGATGGCAAGGTCTGTCCTCTGACTCACCAGAAAGCCGCCCTTCTGTCGCGGGATGATGACGCTCGCCACAGAGCCTGCATACATAGGACATGACATGACAGTTTCACTATTGCCTTTACTGATTCTGTTATATTACGATTCTGGAATATTTCGACGTGTTTCATGCTTTGCCTCTTGCGAATATCTTGGAATGTGGCTTACTGTAGTTCAACCACTAACACGAACAAACACATCGGATGCTTTGATAATGGATAAAACAGAATACAGTATGCCTTTATGAAAGTTGTCAGATGTAAAAATACTTGACCTTCCGCATTTTAGTAAACATTCTAGCACATTTGAGAGTTGAATCCCACCTGGGGTTCGAACCCAGACCCTTAAATGTTAGGCACCTGATCACTAACAACCTGACAAGTGTCAATAGTGTAAGTCAGTGAACAAACAACCCCTTTAAGAGATAAAACTTTCAGAGTTTTAAGTGCAAATGTAATATATGTTACACGTGTGCAACATGATTATACGCCGCTCTCATATCAATGTTGAGGGTAGAATCTGTCCTTCGCTGCTGTTTGATACACTGATTCTCATCAGTGTGGTTACTCATAAACACCGTCATAACACATATGACTGACTGACTGACTGAGTTTTGGTTTTACGCCGCTTTTAGCAATATTCCAGCAACATCACGGCGGGGGACACCAGAAATGGGCTTCACATATTGTACCCATTGTACACATATGAAACTGTGGAGGAATTAAGTAGGAAACCATCAACCCATGCGACTAAAGGCATCGGGTTTAAAGCTGACTAGTTGATGGATGTCATCGTATGTAATTTGCGAACATCGATGCCGGTATGATGACGGTCATGGAAATATCTTGTCCAAACCTGCTTATTTAGAGACCACCGTTATATAGTTAGAAATCCACAACACATAGACAAACTTGTACACGAACTGACACACACGCAGAGTAAGTATCAAAAGGGCTTGAAAATGAACTCACAATCGAGGTTTTGACGACTGTGGTTTCTTGTGACAGTGTTGTATTTGTGAACGTCACCAGCGAACAGATCCACATAGTAGAGGCTCTGTGTAGTGTCGTCAAAGTAAGGCCCCTCCCCATTCTGAACACAATTCTTCACAACGACCTCGATCTTCTCAGACATAATCTGAAACATGAAGTACCAACAACATATATGTAACTGGGCAATATGTTTCGCTCTCGAGATTGATTTCGTTCATGCAACTGATCACATCATTATATACTCAAAGGCAAAAGTTATTGATTGACTTGAAGTTAGATATGTGAATTAACAACTGATATTTTTATGATGAGACTTTTTGAATACTGCAAGAAAGTTATTCACATTGGGATTGACAAATGGCACAATTTAACGTTTCTGCTGGGCACATGCTAATGACGTCAGAGTGAGAGAACGGTCAAAATGGAATTCACACAGACACTAATGCTTTTACGTGTATGTCCACCATGAGCTTCGATGTATGCTTGACGCCTCCTCGAGCCAATCAAACATCGCAAGAAGTCTTGTGGAATGACATTCCATATCTGTGGAAGCACCTGGCGGAGTTTCTGAAGCGTGACTGGGGGATTTGGCCAACTTCTCAATCTCCTCTCCATTTCGTTACCTTATGTACAGACCGCCGTCAAATATAGCTGGAATATTGGTGAGAGCTGACAAACAACCAACCAAACTAACTGATTACAGCCTGGCGCCACGAAGCTAGATTATTGGTGAGCGCTGACAAACAACCAACCAAACTAACTGTTTACAGCCTGGCGCCACGTAGCTAGATCATTGGTGAGTGCTGACAAACAACCAACCAAACTAACTGTTTACAGCCTGGCGCCACGTAGCTAGATCATTGGTGAGCGCTGACAAACAACCAACCAAACTAACTGTTTACAGTCCAGCGCCACGTAGCTAGATTATTGCTGAGTACTGACAAACAACCAACCAAACTAACTGTTTACAGTCCAGCGCCACGAAGCTAGATTATTGCTGAGTACTAACAAACAACCAACCAAACTAACTGTTTACAGCCTGGCGCCACGAAGCTAGATTATTGGTGAGCGCTGACAAACAACCAACCAAACTAACTGTTTACAGTCCAGCGCCACGAAGCTAGATTATTGCTGAGCTAACAAACAACAAACAACCAACCAAACTAACTGTTTACAGTCCAGCGCCACGAAGCTAGATTATTGCTGAGTGCTGACAAACAACCAACCAAACTAACTGTTTACAGCCTGGCGCCACGTAGCTAGATTATTGGTGAGCGCTGACAAACAACCAACCAAACTAACTGTTTACAGTCTGGCGCCACGTAGCTAAGATTATTGGTGAGTGCTGACAAACAACCAACCAAACTAACTGTTTACAGCCTGGCGCCACGAAGCTAGATCATTGGTGAGCGCTGACAAACAACCAACCAAACTAACTGTTTACAGTCTGGCGCCACGTAGCTGAGATGACAAACAACCAACCAAACTATTGGCCTGGCGCCACGAAGCTGAGCTTGCTGACAAACAACCAACCAAACTAACTGTTTACAGCCTGGCGCCACGAAGCTAGATCATTGCTGAGTGCTGACAAACAACCAACCAAACTAACTGTTTACAGCCTGGCGCCACGAAGCTAGATTATTGCTGAGCGCTGACAAACAACCAACCAAACAACCAAACCAAACTAACTGTTTACAGCCTGGCGCCACGAAGCTAGATTATTGCTGAGTACTAACAAACAACCAACCAAACTAACTGTTTTTAACAGCCTGGCGCCACGTAGCTGAGATTATTGGTGAGCGCTGACAAACAACCAACCAAACTAACTGAGCCTTACAGCCTGGCGCCACGAAGCTAGCCTGGCGCCATCATTGGTGAGTGCTGACAAACAACCAACCAAACTAATTGTTTACAGCCTTGCGCCACGTAGCTAGATCATTTGTGAGCGCTGACAAACAAACAACCAAACTAACTGTTTATAGTCCAGCGCCACGAAGCTAGATTATTGCTGAGCGCTTACAAACAACCAACCAAACTAACTGTTTACACGCTAGCGCTACGTAGCTAGATTATTGCTGAGTGCTGGCAAACAAACATATTGAGCTGCAAGCTGTAACTCAGTCGCGGAAATCGACTGATGGTGCTTCTAACAACCTGAACCGTCCCATCAATCAGCCTGAGTCTGTACCCGCGTCAACAAGTGTTTTATGTACTCACCGTAGTGTGCCGTGCCTTTATGTTGGCCGATATGTTTTCTGTACTCCGCGCCGACCTCAGTCTCCGCCTCCTTCGCTGCGAGGTCTCCGTGACCTCCCGACTGATGATGGCGGCTTGCTACACAAGCGTGCGACACACAGCCATCGCTTTGTTGAAACTTGTTATGACTATATTAATGGTCTTTTTGCATAGGCCAACTCTGACATGCACTCTTTCTCTTAAGTAATGTCAAACTTCTGCCCTTAATTCCCATCTCAATGTCGTCTATTATCATAACCCGTGACTATAGTCATTGCAAGGAAATACAGAAGTTCAGGTTGCCCTAACCTAGGTCATATTTAAAGGAGGACTCACTGACACATTTTCTCCTCAGTGAACGTGATCAGACAGAGTGACGTCTTCACATATTTGGTTTTCTTTGCCGTGCTTTCGTTTTCAGCTTGGACGGAAAATGTCAATTTCTGTCTTCCAAATGGTATCCAATACCTTCTCATTTGTGTCAGTGCTTAATTCATCATTATCTTCTCGACTATTAGTACCTTTTGCAGAAGGTCAAGGAACAATTCGAAATTTTGACAAGTTGATAATGGTACGGGCGGGGCCATTTGGTTTGTTTGTTGTTTAACTCCGTACTCATCAGGGGCGGTGGGGTAGCCTAGTGGTTAAAGCGTTGGCTCGTCACGCCGAAGACCCGGGTTCGAATCCCCAAATGGGTACAATGTGTGAAGCCCATTTCTGGTGTTCCCCGCCGTGATGTTGCTGGAATGTTGCTAAAAGCGGCGTAAAACCAAACTCAGTCAGTCAGCCATACTCATCAATATTCCAGCAATATGGCGGTAACCTGTAAATGATCACACTCCATAGTAGGAGCATCGATCTACGCAATTGGGATACGACATGTGACAACCACGTCAACCAGTCTGACCACCCGGTAGTCACTTCTTACGACAAGCATGGGTTCCTGAAGGCCATATATCGCCTGAAGGCCATATATCGCAAATAATCACGGCGTCTCAGTGTTCTCTTGTATTTCTCTGAATAAAATGTGAATTGTTACTGCTTGAATTGTTTTAATTTAAAAGACGCGCTGGCTTAGGTTAGACATTATTTTTTCATTGTGACTAATCGCATTGTCCGAAAGTTCGTAAATGGTGTTTGTTTATCGAAATCAATCAGTCATGTACAATTTAACTGGGGGGAACATGTTTGCAATAAATACGTCCATTCCAGAGTCCAGTACTTCCTCAAAAATACCGACAGTAAAAGTTCCGTAACGAAATGCCTCTTCAAGTCCAGTGTTCGCCATGTTGAGGGTCAAACAAAAAGTGCAACAATGTTATAGTATGAATTTGTGCGCAGCAATTAGGTTTCCGCAAACCAGATGTATCGGTGTTAAGTCCATCTGATCATGATAGACCAGCCTATCAGAATGGAGTATCAGTCGCCATTATGATGTCTCCGTATCTGTGCTCCACTCTACTTCAATCTCCACGTCCTTCGCCCGACATTGACCTGTCAGCTGATAATGACCGCTTGTATAAGAGGCGTGAGACTCACAGGTCAAGTGGTCACAGGTGCAGTAGCCCAGTTTCACCTCACCACAACTTCTAAGGCAAACCAGGCTGGTGTGATACTGTGATAATGGATACAGGATGATTTCACATATCTGCATTAAGCTGCTGTACACCACAAAGGGAAGAATTACCACCATACCTTGTTTTGAGAACGAAAACATTTTGTATTTTAATGGAAAATAATTACAAATTATGCTCGTACTTATATTGTAAAATCATTGTAAAAATACCCCGGTTGGAACAGTTACTCGTCTATACAATCAAATATTTGGTCAAATTTGCTTTCGGCGATTGGAAACCTGTATTGACCGTGCACACGAGCAGTGGAAACATCTGAAAAGTACAGCGAACCAAGTGACAGCACAGTCGCGTGTGTTCTGGGAAGCGATGAAAGTCGCCGACCCTGAAGCTGACGACATGAAGCTTTAAGTAATTCACGTGTTTCAAATATTTTGTTGATTATGTTATCAACCATACGCTTTGACTTTCATGCCGAAGCTATACTGCCGTCGGGGCGGTGTAGTAGCCGAGTGGTTATAGCGTTCGCTCTTCACGCTGAAGACATGTGTTCGATTCCGCACGTGGGCACAATGTGTGAAGCCCAATTCTGGTGTCTCCTGCCGTGATATTGCTGGAAAAGCGGCGTAAAAAACTCACTCACTCACTATACTGCCATCTGTAACTCCCCTTGATGGGGATAACAGTGAGAAATTAAGTGTGTGTCTGTTTAACGTCCCACTAAGCATTATACCCCCCCAGCTGTATGGCTGCGGTCTGTAAATAATCAAGTCTCTACCAGACAATTCAGTGATCATAGCATGAGCATATATCTACGCAGTTGGGATACGATGGCATGTGTCAACCAAGTTAGCGAGTGTGATCACCCGAATCCGTTACGATAAACATAGGCTACTGAAGACCAACTCGGATGCTCACGGGTAAAAGTGCGTTGACGCATGACTGAAAACTGCAAAGTGAAGAAACCACGACAAGTGGTAATAATTACAAATTATATCTTGATTATCTCCGTGATGTATTCTTGAACGATATTTGGAAAGATTAAGAAAATATCACTGGAAAAAATAAATGGATATTTTCTTTACACATTTTCAATTGTAGTATAGAATGTAAATAGTATACCAAATATATGGTTTTCATAACAACAATATGCAAATTTAACTATAGCTTTGGTTCAACGTTATCACAAAATATTCAGATTCTTAGATCAGCATGTGTTAAGGGTTTGCATTTCAAGGGTCAAAAGGTCAGTGATATAATTGTATGCAGAGACACGTACAACACTAAAGTTCACAGTGCGTTCACTTTGTCGCAATTAGCTCTACAGCTCAGTTTATCTGTTCTAGTTAGAATCAAATACGGATCTTTCTCTGGCTGACTAGGGAACTGACCGTCTATTCAATCGTTTCTTGCATTATTGGTGGTTGGTCGTGTACAGTAGTATTTCTCGTGAGCGGCCAATGAACCATCTCCAGGGTTAACAACATAACTATCGAATGCTTCAACGCTGTGACGTCACCGGGAGTTATCATCTGGCGAGATATATAGACAACAGCACCGTGTGTTCATGTATCGTACATACTGCCAGCTGCAAGTATAAAAGTAAGTACAAGTGTGTTTAGTATTGTTTGTTCACCATGCGTCCTTAGTTCACTAGCTCAGACGGAAAACATCAAGTTAAATGTCCATACAAAATCGTATTAAATATCAAATGTTCCGAGTGGGTAGTCACTGCTTTGACAAAAGATCGACGTGATTCCGAGATGCCTTTCTACACGATCAAGGTACCAAGTACACGTTTTGAGTTAAGTCATAATGGTTGCCGTCGGGACTTTGTTCAGACTGCCGATAATTGTCAAACAATCTGCTACCACTACCGTATCAATGGCCCAAAAACGACCTGCTTGATACCAACAAGACGATAACAACAGGGGAAGACTTTCGTACAAATTCGGAAGACGTGAATAATTCCCCATTGCTGGTAACATGTATCTACTTGAAGTTGCTGATACGTACTTCTGTGATGGCACTTTCAGTATTTTCAGTACGTTATCACCATGGTACATACGTCCGACAATCCCCGAATCTGAAACAGAAGGTATGTGTAAGCTAATCATTTGATTTCACTGGGATTGCAGCCCAAAATGCTGTCAAAACGCTTCCAGTTTGAACTCCAAGGCTGCATGTTCGGCTATAGACGGTCCATGTCACGAACTACAACCCAAGTATCAAGCAGTTAGTTACAGTGTTGCAAGATGTCCTGGAATGCATTTGAAGACTTGCGGATTTGGGTTGCACAGCTTCTACATATAAAACACAAGATTTGTCTCCGATACTTTGAAAAGTGATAAAGTTAACTTGGCTACTGTAAACGTTACAACGTCTGAGTGCTTTGTGTTTTTGATGGTTCGGGACAGACTCTCTAAAGTCTATGTGAGTTACGGAGAGTCCGATGACAGATTTCACCAAAGATCTAATATTTCCGGAAAACAACATAAAAAATCACGAGGTGCTAACTTAGTATACATGCGACAATAGCAGTGTGACAGGGTGGTAGAATAGAGAAAAGCGTTTGTCCTGAGTAAAATACATCAGTCATGGTTGTTTTTGTTTTTGTAACAGGTTGGAGTCCGTACTTCGTTCTCGCTGCAGTTATACCTAATATCCATGGGAACTATAACTGGAGAGCTGAGCGGAAGTGACGTCAGAACGAGAGGCCCGCCTGATGGAGGATGGGGATGGGTGTGTGTTGTTGGGAGACTCTACTGCCAGTTCTGTGTTCTGGGAACAGCGACAGCGTTCGGCATCATCTACGTCGAACTCATCGACTACTTCCACACCTCCAGGGAGGTCGCCGCGTGGATAGGATCTCTGGCAATTGGGCTGATCTTCCTCACAGGTGAAAGAAACTGAGATCTCTTCAAATCCACGCAATCACTCACATAGATCAGTGCAGGCTGGGTTACTAATCAGCGAATCGAAGAGATTGTCAACGTCATTGTTTTGCCGCTGGACATAGTTGAAGGGTCGAGGAAACTTGAGCAATTACAAATGTTAATGTCTACTTACAGTTCAACTGGCCTGTCAGGTCGATTCAGTATACTTATCTTCGGAGAAAATGCCCAGATAATTAGAATGGCGATCGGTCACTGTAAAGAAAGTTGACGAAATTAAACATTGTAGAATTCTAACGACATGTACGATTTGTGTGCATCTATGAAAGCTGTTAACGTTGTAAACACGAACTCGGAAACAACTTAAGCTTATGGGATAATAAATTTTGCCCAATATGGATGTTTTATCTATCCTGTTTCGAAGCCCCGTTGCATATATAAAATGCCTAAATATATTTATAGTTTAGAGTCGAAAGACTGTGTTCTGTGTTCTGACTGGAGCTAGCTGACATTTGATTGGCTCACAATGACCGCTTTCATTACCTTGATTGGGAGGTAAAAGAATGCATTTCTACAGATCATCGCTAAAAGAGTTCCCGAAGGAGTTCAAGTTCTGATTTGAATCAAATAGAGATAAAGACTTCAATACCTAAAGACACTTATGGTCAGTCGTTTACAAACTATAAGTTATTAACTCCTTCCCGTCAGAGGTTGTCAGAACATGCTTCGACAAGCAAACGGAATTTTACCAGCGTAAATATTCTACATACACCGACAATATCTATAAATATGTTTAAAACCGTGCCTATGTAGGGGCTGGGAGTCCCGTGCTGGGATTCGAACCACGGACCTTCTAATCCAAAGTCGGACGCCTTGTCCACATGACCAAAGAGGTTAACCCCGTCAGCAAGCTGACAAGGTAAGGATGTCATCTGTGGAATGACTCCACGCCCTGCTACACCTACCTAAAACTTATATAGTACGATTAGCCGTAGACGATTGTGTTTCACTTACCAAGTAATATGACAATTGACATCACACAGGACCCCTGGCTTCGTATCTGACAGCGAGATTTGGTATACGGAAGACAACACTTGCTGGAACTCTCCTGGCCTTTGTGGGCTGCTTCATCAGCTGGTTCGCCACGGGGATCACCTACCTGTACATTAGCTACGGCGTCTTACTAGGTGAGTGGTCTCGCCCTGTACTTCAGCTGGTTATATAGCACTAGGTGAGTAGACTTACCTGTACCTTAGCTACGGCGTTTCACTTGACCCTCACCTGTACTTAGCTACGGCGTCTTACTAGGTGAGTGGCCTTGCCTGTGCATCTGACAGCGAGATGTTCACTAGGTGGAAGACAACACTTGTTGGAACTTAGCTACGGTGTTCACTAGGTGTTCACCACGGTGAGTAGACTTACCTGTACTTAGCTACGGCGTCTTACTAGGTGAGTGGCCTTGCCTGTGCTCAGCTACGGTGTTCACTAGGTGAGTGGCCTTACCTGTACTTAGCTACGGTGTTCACTAGGTGAGTAGACTTACCTGTACTTGGCTACGGCGTCTTACTAGGTGAGTGGCCTTACCTGTGCTCAGGTACTGTTCACTAGGTGAGTGGCCTTACCTGTACTTGACTACGGCGTCTTACTAGGTGAGTGGCCTTGCCTGTGCTCAGCTACGGTGTTCACTAGGTGAGTAGACTTACCTGTACTTAGCTACGGCGTCTTACTAGGTGAGTGGCCTTGCCTGTGCTCAGCTACGGTGTTCACTAGGTGAGTGGCCTTACCTGTACTTAGCTACGGTGTTACTAGGTGAGTGGCCTTGCCTGTGCTTAGCTACGGGGTTCAGGTGAGTAGACTTACCTGTACTTAGCTACGGCGTCTTACTAGGTGAGTGGCCTTGCCTGTGCTCAGCTAAGGTGTTCACGAGGTGAGTGGCCGTACCTGTACTTAGCTACGGTGTCTTACTAGGTAAGTGGCCTTGCCTGTGCTCAGCTACGGTGTTCACTAGGTGAGTGGCCTCACCTGTGCTCAGTAACGGTGTTCACTAGGTGAGTGGCCTCACCTGTACTTAGCTACTGCGTTCACTGAGGGAATGAACTTACCTATGTTTTAGTTACGGTGTTTCACTAGGCGAATGTCCTTATCTGCACTAAGGCCACGGTGTTTCACTAGGCGAATGAACTAATCTGCACTAAAGCCACGGTGTTTCAAAAGGTGAGTGGCCTTATCTGTACTTACGCAACGGTGTTTCACTAGGTAACTGGCCTTAATTACCTCTACTTTTTGTACTGCGTTCACCTGGTGAGTGACCTTACCTGTACTTAGCTACGGCGTTCCACAAGGTGAGGGGCCTTATCTCTACTTAGCTACGGCGTTTCACAAGGTGAGGGGCCTTATCTCTACTTGGCTACGGCGTTTTACAAGGTGAGGGGCCTTATCTCTACTTGGCTACGGCCTTCCACAGGGTGAGGGGCCTTATCTCTTCTTGGCTACGGCGTTTCACAAGGTGAGGGGCCTTATCTCAACTTGGCTACGGCGTTTCACAGGGTGAGTGGCCCTTATCTCCTGTGTTCAGCTACGGTGTTCACTAGGTGAGCTACGGCGTCTCTACTTAGGTGAGTGGCCTTAACACGGTGACTAGGGTGAGTAGCCTTATCTCTACTTAGCTACGGCGTTTCACTAGGGTGAGTGGCCTTATCTCTACTTGCTACGGCGTTTTACAAGGTGAGGGGCCTTTTCTCTACTTGGCTACGGCGTTCCACAGGGTGAGTGGCCTTATCTCTACTTGGCTACGGCGTTTCACAAGGTGAGGGGCCTTATCTCTACTTGGCTACGGCGTTTCCCAGGTGAGTGGCCTTATCTCTACTTGGCTACGGCGTTTCACAAGGTGAGGGGCCTTATCTCTACTTGGCTACGGCGTTTCACAAGGTGAGGGGCCTTATCAGTAATAAGCTACGGCGTTTCACAGGGTGAGTGGCCTTATCTCTACTTGGCTACGGCGTTTCACAAGGTGAGGGGCCTTATCTCTACTTGGCTACGGCGTTTCACAAGGTGAGTGGCCTTATCTCTACTTGGCTACGGCGTTTCACAAGGTGAGTGGCCTTATCAGTAATAAGCTACGGCGTTTCACAAGGTGAGGGGCCTGATCTCTACTTGGCTACGGCGTTTCACAAGGTGAGTGGCCTTATCTCTGCTACTTGGCTAAGTGAGTAGACATTCCACGGGTCTGAGTGGCCTTATCTCTACTTTCACTGGCTGACGGCGTTTAGCTACGGCGTCTTACTAGGTGAGGGCCTTGCCTAATCTCACTCTTGGCTACGGCGTTTCACTGGGTGAGGGGCCTTGCCTCTGTTTCAGCTACGGCGTTTCACAAGGTGAGGGCCTTACTCTGTACTTAGCTACGGCGTCTTACTCAGGTGAGTGGCCTTCACCTGTACTTCTACGGCGTGAGGTAACGCCTTATCTCTACTTGGCTACGGCGTTCCACAGGGTGAGGTGCCTTATCTCTACTTGGCTACGGCGTTTCACAAGGTGAGGGGCCTTATCTCTACTTGGCTACGGCGTTTCACAAGGTGAGGGGCCTTGTCAGTAATAAGCTACGGCGTTTCACAGGGTGAGGGGCCTTATCTCTACTTGGCTACGGCGTTCCACAAGGTGAGGGGCCTTATCTCTACTTGGCTACGGCGTTCCACAAGGTGAGGGGCCTTATCTCTACTTGGCTACGGCGTTCCACAGGGTGAGGTGCCTTATCTCTACTTGGCTACGGCGTTCCACAAGGTGAGGGGCCTTATCTCTACTTGGCTACGGCGTTTCACAAGGTGAGGGGCCTTATCTCTACTTGGCTACGGCGTTTCACAGGGTGAGGGGCCTTATCTCTACTTGGCTACGGCGTTTCACAAGGTGAGTGGCCTTATCAGTACTAAGCTACGGCGTTTCACAGGGTGGTATAATGTTAATTTTAAATATCGAGATGGCAACGGAAGTTCGGCATTATGACGTCACTATCGTTGTATTGTCTAGTTTGGTTACACAATACTCGTTGGATAACTTTCAACTGGTTACACAACACCTCTTTCAAATAACCAAAATTATCTCATGGAGATATTCGGAACACGTGTGTAATAAACTTGTATATAACTTCTCCTACAGGCATAGGTCTTGGCTTGGTCTTTGTGCCCTCAACTCTGATCGTGGTGCTCTACTTTGACAAACACAGAGGACTCGCCAACGCCATAGCATCCTGTGGGAGCGGTATTGGGACGCTGGCTCTGCCCCCTCTTTACACCTACCTGCTAGGGGAGTACGGCTGGAGGGGCACGCTGCTTCTACTGTCTGGCCTCGTCCTGAACGGCGTAGTCTGTGCCGGCGTCTTCAGAACCCCCGACTATATAACAGGTAATTGTCGGGATCAGTAAATGAATGACATCGTCGAGAGTGAGTGTGTGGTATGGTTGTGCGCCGCTTTTAGCAATATTCCCCGCAAACGTCGAGGGCCACCAGAATTGGATTTCGAACATTGTACCTATGTGTGGAATAGAACCCGAGTCTTCAGCGTGACGAGAGAACGCTTTGGCCAATGGCCTACCCCACCGCCCCTGACATCGCCGAGAGGCTCACGGAATGTTCATTCTGAGTGTATTATCGGAGTAAGGTCTATGGCATAGTTAGTGAGAAAGTGCTATCGGAGTGATGTATATGGAATATTCAGTGAGCGAGCGTTATCGAAGATCTACGGGATAGTTGGTTACAGAGGCTGATCACAGAGCAGTCTATATGTAAGTCAGCGATTGAATGTTACACGGAAGCCCATTTAACATCAGTCGCTGTGAGTATTATCACAGGAAACTCTATGGACTTGTGAGTGAGTGTTACTGAATGGAGGTCTATGAATTAATTGGCCTGTCATAATGGAAAGGGATCATACTTAACTTCGTTAATGTGTACGTTGTTCTAGACATTGTTGCATGTGATGTGTCTCTCTGCGTCTGCAGCCGCCAGGAAGAAGGGCCCGGCTGAGAAGAGCAGACAGAGCTGGGGTCAGTTCTTCAGCTTGTTCTGTAATCCCTGCTTCACGATGTTCGTCATCGCTGGATCAGTGGCACAACTTGGATACATAGTGCCATTCGTCCATCTACCCGACATGGCGGCACAGATGGGCATTGAGAAGGTCCACATTTGTTTGCTTCATGGAAATATTTGACATTGATTTGTTTCCTGTATATCGCAGTAGTACTGCATCTATTTTCAGTATCTACCTTAAAACTGCTGACTTCTATCTGGTGTTACATTACATACATCAATCCTCTATATTATACGACCGCCTCCGTGGTGTAGTGGTTAGAGCGTCCGCCCGGAGAGCGGAAGGTCGCGGGTTCGATCCCCGACCGCGTCATACCAAAAGACGTTAAAATATGGTACTTGTTGGTGCCTGCCTGGCGCTCGGTATTAATGGGTACAACAAGGACTGGTCGGCTCGGAGTCAGTATAATGTGTCTGAGTGGGGTATTCATGCTTCACTGCGGCATGGTATCTCAGTGGGCTAGCACTATAAAACCAGCTTAAGTCTGGGCTAGTACAAGCAGCCGCACCTACACATACACACGCATGCACGTCGTCATATGAGCAAAATATTCTCAAGCCCGATGTTAAACCCAATTTCACCTCACCTCACCTCTATATTATTCACTTCTATCGCCTATATTGTATACATCTCTCCTCTTTATTTCATATATCTATCCTCTATGTAACATACATCTAACATTTAGATTACTTATATATATTCTCTGTAATGCTTAGGTCTATCATCTATATTACATTATATGTCTTCTGTATTGCATAGTTCCATCCTCTATAGTGAAAACCTCTAACTTCTATATTTCATAAATTTATCCCTATATTACAAACATGTATCATCTTTTTTACATACATCTGTCATCTATATTAAACTCATCCATCCTCAATATTTTGTTTATTACAGACGCCCATTCTCGTTATGGCATACTGTTAGTCTCTGTATTGCATGATCCAACTTCTTATATTGCAAACTTATGCCCTCTATATTGTATATACCTACATATATTCCCTTCATTGCATTACTTCAACCACAGTGTTAAAGCACAACTGTCTCACTATTAGTGTTACACGTATCTACCGTCAACGTTTAAGACGCCGAATTCGCTGTGCAGAATTGCGTTCCTTTAATTGTGGGTTCGAATGTCGGTTTGCCCCGCATATGTGTCCAGATTTACCAGCACCATACCGTTGTTTGTGGTTTAACTAATGTGGTGAGGTGAGGTGAAATTGGGTTTAACGTCGTGCTTGAGAATATTTCGCTCATGTGACGACGTGCATGCATGTGTATGTGCATGTGCGGCTGCTTGTACTAGCCCAGACTGAAGCTGGTTTTATAGTGCTAGCCCACTGAGATACCATGCCGCAGTGAAGCATGAATACCCCACTCAGACACATTATACTGACTCCGAGCCGACCAGTCCTTGTTGTACCCATTAATACCGAGCGCCAGGCAGGCACCAACAAGTACCATATTTTAACGTCTTTTGGTATGACGCGGTCGGGGATCGAACCCGCGACCTTCCGCTCTCCGGGCGGACGCTCTAACCACTACACCACGGAGGCGGTCTTCACCAATGTGGTAAACGTCTGAGACCAGGGGTTGGTGGGTAGCCTAGTGGTTAAAGCGTTGGCTCGTCACGCCGAAGACCTTGGTTCGATCCCCACATGGCATTGTTTGAAGCCCTTTCCTGGTGTCCCCCGCCGTGATATTGCTGGAATATTGCTAAGAGCGGCGTAAAAACTTGAGGAAACACGTTTTGATATGACTGGAGTACTCTTTACAACGGCCTCAAATCCAACTTTCTCACTTTATTACAGTACATGACGGCGTATCTCATCTCCACCATGGGCGTATCCAACATCGTCGGCCGGGTTTTCATGGGCTGGGTGAGTGACCTCCCCTGCGTAAACATCATCTTCCTGCACGGCTTGTCGCTGATGGTGTGTGGTGTCGCTACTGTCGTCAGCCCACGTCTCTCCCAATTCTATGCCCTGGCCGGCTATTCCGTAGTACAAGGCGTGTGTATTGGTAGGTCAATAATTCCTCTTGCTTTGACAAATAGAGAGTAGAGCTTATAATTAGTAACTGTCTAAAGCCTGGTTTATATGCAGGGGGAGTAATAAATAGATAAATGAATGAATAAATCGTCTTATCAGAGACCCTGCTTTCGTGATCAACACACATTGGTGTCTTAACCCAGTTTCTCTGTCAGGAATATTATAAGTTGTTCACTGGTCCATCGGGGTCCATGGGTTGATGTACCCTCGATGTTTGTTTATGTTCCCTGAGCCCGAAGGTGTTTGGTACGATAAATACGTTGTTCACTGGTTCCTTGGGGCCCATTGGTTGATGTACCCTCGATGTTTGTTTATGTTCCCTGAGCCCTTCCATCGATTTGCATTCGCAAAACATCGGTAATTTCCGTACATCATACGTGATACAATGTTATTCGAGATAAAGAATTACTACCACGAAGTACCAAATGAGTTGCCATTGACAGCGGGGTACATTGAAATGTTACTCGCTTGCAAGCGGGGTACATTGAAAATAATAGAAGAGCGCTCAGCCAATCAGAAAGCGACATTTATGTGTGAGGTAAGATAAGTCATAATGGCGAAAGCTCTGGTAAGTTCTTAGTGGTACAAAGAATTCGGCGGTGGGGTATTGTAGTGGTTAAAAGTGTTCGCCCGCCACGCCAAAGGCCGGGTTTGATTCCCCAAATGGGTGCAATCTGTGAAGCCCATTCCTGGCATCCCTTGATTTTGCTGGAAGTGAAGGACCATGGTTGTTTTTGAATTGCCGTTTTGTGTCATTGGGACAGTAACTATTCAAAGTCGCGCTTGACTTAGCTCTTCTTATCAATCGTACGTAGCGATGACAGTTTAGAACAGGATACTCCTTGGTGACCCGAATTAAAACGTATACCCAGAAACCAATGCTTGTAGGCATAGGCGTTTGAACGGACCGTGTGCACATTGGCATGTTGATTGTTTATTGTCATAGGCCGTGGGACGTTGCCCTTGGTATAAGTAACTGGATCCAGATCCGAACTCGATTTTTCACTGAGCTGCGCAATTGTCGGTTTTGTAAGTCACAAATAGGATCACTTCTCTCGGGAAGTGACACTGAGCTTAGCAATTGTCGGCGCTGTATATAAAAAATAGGCTAACTTTCTCACAGGACGTGAAACATACAATTTAATGATATCGCCAACGATACCGATGATGTTTTATTGTCGTAGGTGTGTATGCTGGTTTCATCCCTGTGATTCACTCCACGATCGTCGGCGTACACCGTACAGGTGACGCCCTGGGACTGGGCTCCGTCTTATCTGGTGTCATCAGTATGGTAGCGTCTCCCATCGCAGGTAACTCACGTATTTAAGTGGACTGTAAACACATGCAATGCCATGTGAGTGAGTGAGGTAAAAATAACTTACCAGGCGTGTCAGTATAATGTGGGAAGAAAGCTGTATGGTCCCCAGGGAGTTGAGATTGAAAATACGAGATTGGCATCCAATGATCTAGGAGAAACAAGTGCTATACAAATATAAGTATGTTTGTATGTGAAGGTCGAAGAGATGCAAATCTTTGCTCTTTACAACTTTTGTCAAACCGACATGCACAGTACATTGCTGGCAAACCTTGAATAGTGCCATGACTTTCAGCAGACAATGTTGTTGCTCTATGGCCATCGTTATGAAGGTAAATTGAGTCTAAATGTTACTTTTTACCAGAATGGTTGATGTCAAATACACTAAAATGTCAATCCATTTAATATATCAACAATTATATAAATGCATGGCACCTATAATTCCCCTCCAGTCAAAGTTGAAAACGGTGGCGAACCCGTGTGAATAGATTGTGTCAAAGATGGCTTTGTTTGTCAAGACAACAACGTGTTACATTGTGTCTTTTAAGGTGCGACATGTATATACCCTTCCTCCCTTTCACAGGCTGGTTATTTGACACTACCAAGAGTTACAATGCATCTTTCTACTTGGCCGGGTCCACTTTCATCCTCTCGGGGGTGATGGATATGTTTGTTCTTCTCCTCCACCGACGTCAAACAAGGAAACAAGAAGAAGAAGAGAAAGTGAAAACAGCGGACGCGTCCAATACACATACAGCTTCGCTCGCGCTGATGGCCAAGTCAGGGAACTGAATGGCGAGTGTTTGTTAGAGACAGATGTGGAAAGTAGAAAAGCAGAGATAAATCTTGTGGAACAACAGAAGAATGATGTCTGGATCTGTGTTTATAAAACATGTGTCAGTGGCAATGTAGACCATATACGATCCTAAAGACCCTTCTTGTCGATTTGAAGAATTTGCTGATGGCATCGAGGAACAACAGAACGCGCTTTTGTTCAACTCAGGTATCGAGGAGAGAATGTTAATTATAAAGAAATAATAAGTGCATGCTATAACTTCTTGATATTTGTAACTGTACATTTTAGTGATTTTGGATGCTGGTATTTCCATTTAAGCCATATAACGGCATAATGCTTCATTCTTTAGAAACGAACGCTATGACGCCATCCATTGCTTATGGCATCAAAAATGATTATGGTACGTTATTCTTACCATATGGATACCGTCAGTAAAATGTCTCTGGCGGGATGACAGTTCATGTTGATTCATCATTTCCTACTTTTTTAAAGTTGGCGGTAGAATAGTCTAGTGATTAAAGCGTTCGCCCACCACGCTGAAGTCCCGGGTTCGATTCTCCTTGTAGGTGTAGTATGTAGAGCTCATTTCTGGTGTCCGCCGCCGTCATTGTGCTGGTATATTGCTACAATGGGACTAAATGGGACTCACTGACCCTTTGATATACTCAAAGCGTAATACACAGAATTATCTACCCGAAAATCGGAATTCCAGACTGTCCAATATAAATGACGGTTTCTCACCAATACTTGGAGACAAACTTTACTCAGGGTCAAAAACGATGACGAAACATCAGATACATATTTGAAATCTCTCATCCAGTAGACAGAAATTACGCCATTGTACTGATATGTCTTGACGTCACAACGGTACACGAATCTGTACCGAATCGTCGCACTCTCGTAATAAAAAGAAGTTGTTATCCATAACGTTTGTTCAATAGTGTATGTCCCAACTTCTAAGCCAATCGAATACGTTATGATTATGATACCGTCGGAATCGCATAATCGATTCTTAGCCGGAATGTAACTCGAAAGGGTTTTAGTCATTTTTATTTCCAAGAAAGGTCATATAACAACATATCTGAAATGTTCATATCATGTGAGGAAAATGGTATATGATGCAACACATAACAAATATATATACCGGGTTTGAGTATCCACATGGGCACAGTGTTTGAAGCCTATTTCTGGTGTCCCCTGCCGTGATGTTGCTGGAATATTGCTTAAAGAGGCGTAAACCCGAACTCACTCACTCACTCACTCTAAGTGTGTATAGTCTGCAGTGATATTGTAACGTTTTCATCTATAATAGGCAGGCAGTATATGTGACAGTATTCTGTTGGCACTATCAGTGTACATGAAAGGTATATGTATGCCTGGACAACATACAAAGACGCAACTGGATTTATATATACGTTTATTATATGCTCTAGATCAGCCTTGTTGAATTTCATTAATTACAGCACCTTTCGGATCCAAAAGTATCTATACACTACAATTGGCGTTATACACACTTACAGCCCGGTACTGATGTGAATAGATAAGCAAAACAGTATCGTTAAGACGACTCTTCTGACACTCATACTGCTGAAATATACATGATGGTAGCATCATTGAAACCTCATCCAAGTTCACAGATTAGCTGTTTTTCTTTTTGAAAAAAATCACATCATTATTCTCTTTCTCACCAATGATGGAATTTGTATCCAGCTGGAAGCTTATCCTTCATGTGTTTTACCGTCATCACTACGACATAGCTATCTAATGGTCATACACGTGGACTCCATTCCGGGTAACTATGTGCTACTGAAGGGAAAATGTCCCCATTATCTGAGAAGAGACTTGTTACTATTAAAGATAGATAGCTTAATTTACAGAAGCTTAAATTGGAAGCTGAAGACGCAGCATCCTTGTTGGGTTCTGCCCACAGTATTTGTTTTGGACGATAATGGCGCTGTGATCAGTACTTGCATATAGATTTAATCCCATATTCGATCTGATCATAATATTTGGTATATCAGCGCCATAGCCGTAGTCGTGGGTTTTGCCAAAATGGTAAACATGTCGGCATAAGTTCGGACTTTCCTACCACAACCAACTCACTCACTCTCTTAAACAGTCACCCGACTGGTCTCCCACTGACTCGGTCTCTGACTGACTGACTCACTGAGTTCAAATGCCGTAATCGTGGTATCCTCAGTTCGGCTAAGCCTAGAGGGAAGCTAAGCCACCGGTATGATCTTGCACCTTAAAGCACAAGCGAAAACGCGAGTAGCAGCAAGTCCTATCCTTGTCACCTAAATCAGAAGGAACCTACGGTGAGAAACATCACACAGCAATACCTTCTCGTGTCTCAGTAACAGTGAAACGAAACAGTTCGTCATAGTTCATGCTACCGTCCAAGTTGCCATACACGCTGACGAAAGCACCTGCTGGTTTGGGTTGAATTTGGCCTTGGAACACACCAGGGGACACAGGTGAAGATCCTCGACCGTCCACTAGGATCCGCGCCAGTTTCACAGAATCGACAAGGAAGCTGACAGTCTGCCCTGCAGGAATGACACCGCTTTGAGGTTCGACCAGGGTAGCCATACAAGCCTGGGTAAAGGGGAAGGACGTTGGGAAGGGTTGGCAGTCTTTTAGAGCAGTTTTGCATTGGACAAGGTAAACTGCAATTAAATCAACACTGTTTCCATCAGTGCCAGGTGGTTTTGCGAACAGGGATATCTTATAGTACCCCACCCAAGGAAACCTAGCCCTTACCCTCATACCGCTGTAGGAATACTCCGATGTGACGAAGTTGTTCGTATCAGGGTTGTCCTGAACGGCATGTTCCATCTTCAGCAGGGTCGTTGTATTGCTAGCCATCCCTACAGAAAATTCTACAATCCCGTTATCTGTCACAAAGAAGTCGTCTTTATAAACGTCATGGACAAAACCATAGTTTTCGGCGACAGCCTTGACACCCCACAGTCCATTGTTTTCGGGAAATGGTTTCATACCCGATATGAATGACATACACTTTATTGAATATGAGATCAGCGGGCAAGAACGATACTCTCCTCCAGCCGATTCTCCGTACACTTGTAGCTTGTAGGTAGCCCTGGCAGGAGGGTAGACTGTTATGCTGACCGAACCATCGTTCTTTCTTCGTGGAACAACATACCTATCACATTCTTCGCCTGTGTCGGATTTTTTGAATTTGCAAAGGACGTTTACAAGCATCACTCTGTTGACCCTGAACTCGATCTTTACACTCTTGTCGACGTGGATGACACAGTCTTTGTGGGTCAGAAGCTCCAATCCCCATTGAAGCGCTGCGAGAGTCGGTGACACTTTCTTGTTGAAGAGATGGATGTTGAGAGGGGGATTCAGCAACTGGTATTGGAAACTTGCTTCAAGTCCTCCTCGGATGTACGGGTAATGGCTCCACACGAACTTTTGTGGATCCATCAGAAAGTAGAAGTCGTTGAACATAGGACAGAACCGATTGTCATCATCTATGTAGCCAGATCCCCACGTACAGTCGATCTGACGCCATTCTCCGTGAACGAAGACAATGTTCCAGGTGTGGTTTACGTCATCAAATGTTAGAAGTTGGCTGTCTGGGTCATAAAAGAAGTCTTTTGAGAAACCAGGCACGGCTCTCGCAACGATGTCAACTTCTCTGGAACAAATGTCACAAGCACTCATCACAAGAACAAATAACATAAAGTCTAATAATGAAACTATATATTTTTGAAAAATGGAAAATAAGACATTTAAAGATATACATAACAGTTAATATAATATGCATGCCATGATCAACCATAGCCTTATGAAAGAATCGGATGGTCTTCAACGTCTTTCGAGTAGTATTATATGTTTGGATTATTACAAATCAAGATATACATATTTCGTACCCCAGTGATCCTTTATATTGTCCTTAGTGGCATTTGAAACAGGAATTTGATATTCTATAATATTTTTGAAATAATTTTTAAATTTTTAATGTGAATTATCTAAACATTATGGGTACATAAATATGTAAAAATATACTTTTTCCGTAATCAACAATAATCCTCTGCAAAAGGGGGACAGTGAAACAATCGTACAATTGCAACTGCTCATGTGTTTATGAGTCACTATGAAATAGTGATGATACCAGGTGTTCGCGAAAAGGTGAGCACATCCTCTCCTATTGATGCCATCCATCACAAACACACGTAAAGGCAAAAATAATCATTGAACAAAACATACACTGCAAACTTGAAACTTTGTATACTGAGTTCTATAAATGTAATTGTAATGTTTACCTGCAAAGACCTGTGAAAATGTTTGCAAACCCATGACAGATCGCCTTCCTTGTCAACAGGATAGTTTGGGGGTCACAAGGCATATTCCTGTAGGTGCCTGCGAGAATCGAGTTGATATCGTATCTGAAAAGTATGTAAAATAGATGTAGGGTTGTGAAATATTCACCACATTTAACAGAGAGAGTGAGATGGGTTTAACATTGCTTTAAACGACCTGTGTTACAGTCTGTCAGCATATTGTGGAAGAAAAGTGGTGCAGGTATGTTTACCACTTTGTGACATACATCAGCACGGATTTGGAGCCAACAAGCCTAGAGACAAAATAAGGGCAGAACCGAGATTCGAACCATCGATCATAGGTTCCTAGCGTGCCAGACGTACAATAACTGCCACGCCTTAGAAGACAAGACATATTTGGTTCCAAGATTTCCAAGACAGATGACTTAAACCACAGATATTAAGGTCATATGCTTGTTTGACACAGCTGCAGATTTCCTGCACGAATAAACTCCAGCAATAGATGCTGGGGCCACTCGAAGGGGACTCAGGAGATACTTCCATATTGTATTAGGTACTGGGTATCCAATTCTAGTGATTGGAGTCACAAAATGTAACAGACATACCTATATCATTGTATTGATTCCACGCGTGTTCCAGTGAATGACACATGTCACGTGAGTAAATGAATAGGTGTGTGGACGCTGCTATTATCAATATTTAAGTTGCTATATTATATCACGGCGTGTCTTAGACGTTTACACCTTTTGTGAAATCTACGTATAGCGCTAACAAAATTAAAACATGAGCAGTTGAATGTGGGATTCGAACTCGTGGATTCTAAAGGACCCAACCAATTTGCCTAGTGTATGAGAGACAGGCAGTAGTTATACCCACCTGATGTTGTGCGTTATCCACCGGTAGATGGATCTAACACGGTGCAGATCATCCGGGGCTTTGCTTGTGAGATATGTGGCGAGAGATCGGAGACTAGAACATGTGGCCTCCGGGCACTGAAACATTAGAGACTGACTTCAGAATCAGATATTCCACGTTATGGACCATCGCTTTCTTGCCGCACTCAGCAATGTTCCCGGTAGATACCGTCGGTCTGTGAATAATCTAGATAGAAAGTTATGTGATTGACATCGTGATTATCGACCAATACGTTTAGAATACGATGACATACAAGTATGGGCTGATGAAGACTAAATTAGACTAGGAATATATTGACGTCATAGATTTTCCCTAAAGAGTATATTTATTCAAGTATTATAGAAACATTCGAAAATCAATAAAAACACAAAAGTAAATGCTTCGAAATCCACGATAACGTTAATTTGAGCAAAAATCACATGTTTAAGAAATATAGTAGAACAACTAAGAATTCATTGATAATGGAGACCAAGCAGTCTTGCTGTCTGGACTTAAGGAAGCGATAACAAACCTGCAGAGCATGCCTATCAGTTTCTTCGAACATAGCAGCATTTTTGATGATATCCTTTTTCCGTGTAACTGGTGGTACCAAGGCAGGTTTCTGTGGGAGGAACGCATGACCGCTGGCTCGGGATTCAGGATTCATGCTGTTTCTCCTGGCTGCTACGTCCTTTGACCTTACAGTCTTAGCTGGTGGGTTGGAAATCTTCATAGGCGTCGTCACAAGTTTCTGACTTGTACCTATGATTGGTGCTTGGTTGGTTGTCATGACAACTTTGTTGTTGCTGGGTTTCACTGGTGACCTTGGACGTTCTGGGCGAGGTTCCGTGGAGGTGCTGGAGGGAAGCCTCTGTCTTTCCCGCGATCGCCTCTCTGTCCCGTTCGGCACGCCTTGTTTCTTGCCGATGGACACAGACGATTTCTGATTTGTGGACACGGCAACGGCTTTCTGGGTGCTAGTTTGGCGATACATTGTTTGTGCTGAGCTTTGAGTGTGAGTTTCGGTGTGATGGTTTGAAGATTGACGTACGTACACATCCGTGGACGTACCATCAAACACATGCATGACACTCGGTCTGTTTGCGGAGTTCTTCCGAATAACGCCGACATTGACAGGAGTCCCCTTCTCGGAGGCGCTGAAGACCATTATTCCTCTTTCACTTCCGTCAGACCCTCGACTCCGGCCTGGACTACGACTTCTACTCCTTGTTCTAACTCTTGGCATGGAATGAAACTTATTGATCACCATCCCATTTGTTGGAGGTACAGTGAGTACTCCTTCATCACTTATAAACCGATAGCCACGACCAAATGAGCCACTGTTGGATGGTACTCTTAGGATCTCTCTATCGTTCCTCTTCTTATGTGCCTTTTTAGATGATGACTGTCCCATTGTTCCTACCTGTGTGGAGATAAGGCAGACGGTATACACGAATCGGATTCGAATAAGTGAGTGAGTCTGGTTTTACACCGCTTTTAGCAATATTCAGGAATATCAAGGCGGGGGACACCAGGCATGCTCTTGACACGTTCAGCGTTGAAACATACATAACTAAAACATTATGGCGTATGCAGAAACTATTGCGAACCTTCTGCCTAGTGGTCTAATTTTCAACACACTTTAGCTATTCTCTTTAACATCAACATTTACATATAAGTATAACGATTAAATAATATCAGACATAACTATAGTATAATTATAACTGCATAACCATCGGTACATTCAATGACAAAGAGCATGTATGGTTGCAACACATTTAGTACAAGAACATGGATAATTCTTTTTGTTGACTTTGTGAAAGTACTTTCAAAGAACTACTTCATGAACAGGTATCGACACATAACAAACAGTCCAGGGGAAAACGATAATAACAAGTATAATAAAAACATATGTAATGCAGTGATAAAGTATTTAGAAATGAAATGAAAAATGTGTCCTGTCTTTGACATTTGACATAAGCAAGGAGACAATAGGTATGACATTCAACATATGTAGGGCACAAAGAAGTCGACAGTATGTGTAAAGCAAGGAGAGAATATATATGAAGCTATCGACACATGTGATTCAAGGAGAGAATATATATGCAGCTATCGACATATGGGATTCAAGGAGAGAATATATATGAAACTATTGGAATATGTGATTCAAAGAGAGAATACGTATGCAGCTATCGACACATGTGGTTCAAGGAGAAAATATATATGCACCTATCGACACATGTGATTCAATGAGAGAACATATATGGAGCTATTGACACACATGATTCAAGGATAGACTATATATGCAGCTATCGACACATGCAGTTCAAGGAGAGAATATGTATGCAGTTATCAACACATGTGATTCAAGGAAATAATATTTATGCAGCTATCGACACATGTGATTCAAAGAGAGAATATATATGACGCTATCGACACATGTGATTCAAGGAGAGAATATATATGTAGGTATCGGTATATGTAATGCAAGGAGAGAATATATATGAAGCTATCGATATATGTTTCAAGGAGTGAATATATATGAAGCTTTCAAAGTATGTGATTCAAGGAGAGAATATATATGAACCTATCGACACAGTCAAGGAGAGAATATGAAGCTATCGAGAAATGCAGTTCAAGGAGAGAATAATATATCTACAATTTCCAACATGTACTAAACAAGTAGACCATACATGTACAGCTATCGATAATGCAATGAAAACAAATATGTGCACTCGACGATATATATTGACACTACTGTGTTACCCCGACCAAACAAGATATCCGTAGACAGCATACAGTTGGCCTTATCCCCGACTACACAAGCTTGTACACTGTGAGCCCACTCAACCTTAGAAGTATGTACAAAGAGCAACGCCCACGTCGTCGCTTTTGTACATATGTATGTGAGCGTCCCCGTTATGCTGACAGACACTACTGTCTTAAACATGTCATGTTTGTCTTTTCCATTCGCTTTTGTGTAACCTTAAAAATATCTAGGATGTGTTTACTTATTATCGCGGTGATCACAGCTAGTACACAATCAGCAGCAATCAAAAGCTAATCAAAAACAGTATTTCGAAAGGTACAACGATCGGTCAAATCACCATATACTACTGTAAGCACAAAAGAGGATGTTTTATTAGTTGGATGACCGTGTTTCAGAAAAATACTGGCGTTGTGGGAATAGGGCAATATCGTGCACACGCATGTAGTGAAGAGTAGGTGATGAGCGGATGGGTATTACGCCACATTTAGCAAATATTCCATTGTACCTTGAAGAAACTGTATTAAACAATATATATAATACAGAACAGAGTATAGGGGAGTTCTGAAGGACTGAAGCGTATAGCATATATCACACATTACAGTGTGTGATAAGTATATGGGAGTTGTGAGGGAACTGAAGCATTTTGTATGTATCAAACATGACACTGTGTGATGAGTGTATAGTATATAGTATATATCACACGGGACACTGTATAATGTGTATATGGGCTATGAAGGACTGAAGCATATAGTATATATCACACTGGACAGAGTGTAATGAGCTGTGAGGGAACTGGAGTATATAGTATATATCACACAGGACACTGTGTAATGTGTATATGGGCTGTGAAGGACTGAAGCATATAGTATATATCACACTGGAAAGAGTGTTATGAGTTGTGCGGGAACTGGTGTATATACCATATATCACACAGGATACAGTGTAATGTGTATATGGGCTGTGAAGGACTGAAGCATATAGTATATATCACATTGGAAAGAGTGTTATGTGTTGTGTTGGAACTGGAGTATATAGTATATATCATACACGATATTGTGTTATGAGTATACGGGCTGTGAAGGACTGAAGCATATAGTATATATCACACTGGAAAGAGTGTGATGAGTTGTGAGGGAACAGGAGTATATAGTATATATCACACAGGACACTGTGTAATGAGTATATGGGTTGTGAAGGAGTGAAGCATATAGTATATATCACACTGGACAGAGTGTGATGAGTTGTGAGGGAACTGAAGTATATAGTATATATCATACACGGTACTGTGTAATGTGTATATGGGTTGTGAAGGACTGTAGCACATAGCATATATCACACTGGACAGAGTGTGATGAGTTGTGAAGGAACTGGAGTATATAGTATATATCACACAGGACACTGTGTAATGTGTATATGGGCTGTGAAGGACTGAAGCATATAGTATATATCACACTGGACAGAGTGTGATGAGTTGTGAGGGAACTGGTGTATATATCATATATCACACAGGATACTGTGTAATGTGTATATGGACTGTGAAGGACTGAAGCATATAGTATATATCACACTGGACAGAGTGTGGACAGAGTGTATATCACACAGGATGTGTAATGAGAACTAGGGCTGTATATAGTATATATCACACAGAGACAGATGATGAGTGTGGGAATGGAGTATATATAGATGTGATTCTGTGTAATGAGTATATGGGTTGTGAAGGACTGAAGCATATAGTATATATCACATTGGAAAGAGTGTGATGAGTTGTGTGGGAACTGGAGTATATAGTATAGATCACACAGGATTCTGTGTAATGAGTATATGGGTTGTGAAGGACTGAAGCATATAGTATATATCACATTGGAAAGAGTGTGATGAGTTGTGTTGGAACTGGAGTATATAGTATATATCATACACGATACTGTGTAATGTGTATATGGACTGTGAAGGACTGAAGCATATAGTATATATCACACTGGACAGAGTGTGATGAGTTGTTGGGGGATTGGAGTATAAAGTATACATCACACAGGATTCTGTGTAATGAGTATATGGGTTGTGAAGGACTGAAGCATATAGTATATATCACACTGGACAGAGTGTGATGAGTTGTTGGGGGATTGGAGTATATAGTATATATCACACAGGATTCTGTGTAATGAGTATATGGGTTGTGAAGGACTGAAGCATATAGTATATATCACACTGGACAGAGTGTGATGAGTTGTGTTGGAACTGGAGTATATAGTATATATCATACACGATACTGTGTAATGCGTATATGGGCTGTGAAGGACTGAAGCATATGGTATATATCACACTGGACAGAGTGTGATGAGTTGTGGGGGATTGGAGTATATAGTATATATCACACAGGACACTGTGTAATGTGTATATGGACTGTGAAGGACTGAAGCATATAATATATATCACACTGGACAGAGTGTGATGAGTTGTGGGGGGATTAGAGTACATATTATATATCACACAGGACACTGTGTAATGTGTATATGGGCTGTGAAGGACTGAAGCATATGGTATATATCACACTGGACAGAGTGTAATGAGCTGTGAGGGAACTGGAGTATATAGTATATATCATACAGAATACTGTGTAATGAGTATATGGGCTGTGAAGGACTGAAGCATATAGTATATATCACACTGGACAGAGTGTGATGAGCTGTGTGGGATTGGAGTATATAGTATATATCACACAGGACCCTTTATAATGTGTATATGGGATGTGAAGGACTGAAGCATATAGTATATATCATATAGGACAATGTGTGATAGGTATATGGAAGTTGTGAAGGATTAGAGCGTATAGTATATATCATATAGGGCAATTTGTGATAGGTATATGGGAGTTGTGAAGGACTGGGGCGTATAGTATATACCATGCATAGTAGAGTGTGATGAGTTGTTAGGGAGCTGGAATCTATAGCATGCATCATACAGGGCACAGTGTGATGACTATATGGAGGACTAACTGACTGACTGAGTTTGGTTTTACGCCGCTTTTAGCAATATTCTAGCAACATCACGGCGGGGGACACCAGAAATTAGCCTTCACACATTGTACCCATGTGGGGATTCGAACCCGGGTCTTCACCGTGACGAGCCAACGCTTTAACCACTAGGCTACCCCACCGCCCCCTATATGGAGGAAGGAATGGAAATCTATCATCATATAATCGAAAGAGGTATGATATGTTCGATAGTATATTTGTCTGTACGAGTAACGTCATTTAAGGGTCGGTTGGGAACGGTTAAGTGAGTGAGGGGAGGGAGCTTAAAACAGTAAATCCCGATGGGGACAACACTCAATAATAACACTCACTTTGAATAGAGGAACAACTACTTCGTGAGAAGAAATACATATGCTGTAATGTTTGCTAGGACGATATCAAAGCTACAATGAAATACCAGCTATAAATAGCATTTGCACGGGTACTCTCGTTAGTAAGGTAATTATCGTATCTTACCTGGTCGTATAAACAATTGTATATCCTCTAATACACCTGTTTTATCACGGAAGTTGATAAAACAAAAGTAACGGTCACTCGTGGGAGCGCTTCGCTCCACTGGCCATGACAACGTGTCGATATGGCCCACTGAAACGCATTCCTGCACGAACCTCATGGTGTGAATCAAAATGATCCAAATCGAGACGTGAAAAGGCATTCATGGACACAAAACCCATTGACATGTGTGAAACAAATCTGAAAGGGAATGTTAGATCCCCAATGAATCATCAACGGTTCAGTAGATTCTCAACCTGTGGTTAGGTCTTGTGTCGGGCGTATGCATTGACGTCCAGCCTGAATAATACCATTTGACTGATAGGTGAATTTTACGTTCTAAGGGACGCAAACACAGAAGGTATTTACTATATTTTTTCTTCATTTCAGACATATCTGTAAGCCAGCGAAAATATCTCACGCCCTGAGTGTGTGACGTAGTGTTATGTCTGTAGAGGTCAGGCCTTACGATGTTGTGAGGCTCTTTTCAAAAATACTTCTCTTGTATGACAGGCATGTTAAACAGGTGAAGCAAGTATTACACTGAATTTTTCTGAAGGTTAAAATACATTCAGATATATGCTAGTTAACCTGCTGTTCTGTGCTGTATGCTATTCAGGCTGTATTCAGGCTCAAACGGATATAATATAGGATATGACAAGTCACGCAATGTCCCCTGTAGACTGTCTCCAAGACGTTATTGAATATTTTAGAAATGTGTCCAACTGAGGTCAAGAATGACTGGGCAAGTCTAGACTGCGTAGTGCAATTAGAATTTATGGGACCATTTTTTAAATATCATAACGCTTTATATACCATGCCCAAAATCACCTGTTACCATAATATGTTACTGTGGACGACAAGCTTCACGGACTTTTTGTGAAGCAATACTATCACATATAATATTCTACACTGACGATGAAGGGTGAAAGATGGTGTTTCTCCGCCAGGGTTCGGCCTCAGCGGGATAACGACATTACTTATCGTGGAACAGTGTGGTATCCATGTGATACTATGACATGGTATCTCAGTAAGCTAGCAGAATAAACCTGTCATCATGAATGCTATATGAGTGTAATAATGTTCAACAACCATCTCACCTCACAGCAACAATATAATGCATCGTAGGAAAATTGTACCAATGTTCCAAGCTCTATGCTTTCAATCACTTGTTCTTTGCCTAGGGGTCGGTGTTGTAGTCTAGTGGTTAAGGCTTTCGCTCGTCACGCCGAAGGCCGGGGTTCGATTATCCACATGGGAAACAATGTGTGAAGCCCAATTCTGGTGTTCCCTGCCGTGATATTGCTGGATTATTGCTAAAAGCGGCGTCAAAGTAATCTCACTCACTCCTTTGCCTAATCTAGATTGAGTATTCATTTCTCTTTGCGGTGTTAAACATCATTCACTCAGTGAAATAATGTGATAGAAAACAAAGGATTGCTTACGTGAATAGAATTTTCAATTTATTTGTAACAGGTACAGAAAATTCTAAGATGACACATTATTTACTTATGCAAATGCAATATTGCCATCGCAACGGTCTGATCATACAACATATGTTATATTCGGGAGTACACTTTTCAGATAGGGCGGAGGGGGTAGCCATGTGGTTAAAGCGTTCGCTCGTCACGCCGAAGACCCGGGTTCGATTCCCCACATGGGTACAATGTGTGAAGCCCATTTCTGGTGTCCCCGGCCGTGATATAGCTGGAATATTGTTAAAAGCGGCGTAAAACTGAACTCTCGTTTTGCGTCTCGTACTGTAGAATAATTCAGAGGGTGGATATGGTTTTACGCCCATTTTAGCAATATTTCAGCCATATCTTAATTGGGTTACCAGAAATTGGCATCACATATTGTAGTGCCATTGCAGGAAATCAAACTTGGGGCTTCACCTTGAAGAGAGAACACTTTCACCGATAGCCTTACCCCCCGTACCAGGAAGTTGGTTAAAATCAACACGCCGTGAACATTAACGTCATAGATTAGAATTTCAGTTCTAAGGTATTTCACAATTGTCACGGGACTGTCTCAAGGTAAAGGACAAAGGAAAGTATACACCTAGGTTTGATGGTGTCTTATAAGGACAAAAGAAACGAAATGGTTGCTGGATGGTGACTTGATTGAAACCAGTATCGAAGTTGCGTTTTAACCTTACGTTTTCATCCTTAGTAACGTTTTGATAACGTTTGTAACCAAGCTTCCAAGCGTATACGATTTTTATTCAGTTTATTTATATCCATGAAATACACAATGCCATTTTAGAAAGTTGTCAAATGCAACATCTGTTATATTTGGGTGTGGGTTCGAATCCCGGATGGGACTCAACCCAAAAAAAGTACTAGAATCTGTACTTTACTGAGAAAGTGTAATCCCAAATATAACAGATGTTATTTATAACCAAATTGCACGACAGAGATTTCTCCGATACAGATATTATTTATAGACACGCTGCCCAAACAAAACAGGTCGCGACAATCAACGCAATGCTGAAAACGCTATGATGACGGCACAACGGCAAAATAAACTGAGGTCATTGCAACACTCACGTTGGAAGTCATGAGATGACACGGCGACAGCAACAACAAAACCACTTGCATTGAGAGCATTTCCCAGGGAGAAGGTCACCGATCACCGTAGAGAAGATTAACACATCATTGTGCTGGGTATTCAAATGTGAATGTATAAACGTTATTGTATCGGGTTGTACAAAACCCGGGTTAGATTTATAATCCCCTCATATATGTAGACAGACTGTTGAAATCGTGTTGATAATAACTGTCATGTATCGTACGAATGCTCGGGTTTGGCCAAACTCCAATAGTACAGTACCGGGCAAAAGGAAGTATACATTCAAGTTTGATGGTGACTAAAATTACACTAACACCGATGATTACTAAATTGTGATATATTTGGAGCATTATCACCATTGTGTTTCGGACCTAGTTTCAGCGACTGTTTCCAGACTAGCTAGATTATGATCACCTTTATAATAGTGTTGTTAAATCCATTCAACTGGAATTTTCCTTGGTATATTTCGGTTATAGCACACTGAAGAAAGATAGTGACACAGGTCTATGACACATGTTGGATAAAGAAATACGGGTAGAACAGGATTACTCAGTCATATACAATGATAAAAACGTCGATGACCTCACTCACTCACCCTGCAGGGACAGTAGTCATTGTTCAAGCTTCACTGGTTTTCTGGATCACACGGCTGGACCGCCCTCCCAAGGCTCAATGACTCGGATTAAAATATGCATGTATTATCTCCTTACAATGTCTGTTCGATCAACAAAGTCTCAACAGAGTGTGTCGGCATTCACACTGTCAACAGGGTAGTGAAGAGCGAGGTGCTCTTTCTAATTTGTACGAGATATTGATAGGTATGTATCAATATATGTTATGCATACATATATTCTAAAGCCATAGCTTCGACTTTAACATTACAAATGCTACGGTATGTGACATTACAAGTAATTGTCCTGAAGTTCTCAATGCACCACATCACCTTGTAGATATTCAAGTTATGTTTATAACGAACACGTTTAAAACTAACTGACAGATATGAGGAACAGTTTAACTTGACCTGGCCATAAGCTGAGTATTTTAGTGCAAATAACGAAATGATGTTATAATGAACTAAATGAGCGGTATCGTTTAGTTCGTTGTTACATATTTTTCAGAATATATATGTGCATTCTCTTTTTACTCGCATATGGTACACACAATGAGAGAGAGAGAGAGTCTTTATTTCCTCCAGTAGTTACCGAAGATCACAAACAAAAACATCATATTATTACAACACGTACATGAATATTAACAATTGGATGTTTAGAGATATATGTACAGAGATTTATGACATGAAGAGAATCATTCTGTATAACAGTTCACAAGGTGAGGTTTCAGGTCATATACATACAAAGAAAAGCGTAACAGTATGGTTTCCCATAGTGTTGAATCTATAGAGTTATAAAAGTCGTTTTCTGCTCCGAAGAGAAATGACAACATATCTTGTTCACCTTGCATTTCAAATATTACGTAAGTTTCAACATCAAGTTTATCAATTAAGTATGCAAAGAAATCATTTCGTTGTTGTATTAGGTTTTCACAGCGATGAAGCATATGGAAAACATAGTCAAATGTTTGTTTATTACAAAGAGCACACTCTTTTGAGATTTTACCTCTTGATAGAATTTTGACACAAAATTGCAAGGAAGATTTATAATTAGGGTGTTTATATGTTTATATGCGCATTCTCTTTTTACTCGCATATGGTACACACAATGTATTTACAACATTGAGTAATGGGTTTGCGTGATACTGCCATATTAAACCTTCAGTTGGAATGAAAAGGAGATATGTCACAGTGACTGCATATAATATATACACAGACGAGGACCAAGACGAATTTGTATTATTTTACCTTGTCCTGAGGTAGTTATTCATTTAAAGACATAAAATACATAACTTACGCAATGGAGGATAACTTCTTTGAGTGGCTTGTAGAAGTTGGTATGTTGAACAACGGGGAGAGTTCGAATTCTATGGATATACAACTTCTTTATTACTAATATGAGCGACGTTTCGGTGAAGCTGCTTAAAACGTTATCACTGCCACTTGTCATATTAAGGGAAAATTACCGGCAGTCGCCAGGTATCCAGGGTCATGCAATAGCTACCATTAATATAATCTAATTTGATCCCACATCTTCCCAGAAGCACAACAATGTTTAGGTAACTGCCACTTACATACTCGTGAAAAATGGATCGAGATACTCATTCGGGTAGGAGTACCCTATCCCTGAACCTCACTAGTATAAAGAGCTGAGAGAACGAGATTTCACACGATTTCCAATGTACGGGATCACGAGTGTACAGATTACACAGTTTTCTTGTTAAGCCATTATTGTTTACAGACAGATGTCGGATCGAAAGACTATTGCTTGGTGGAAAAGCTAACTCTTACATTTACTTGAACTGTGTTAGTGGTGGTAGCTACCTATGCAGGATATACAACTAACGTCATCACTAATTTCTGTGACCCATTGACATAGCTTCCATTGCTGTTTTGCCTGCTACGCATTGTGGCATGGCGACATATAATACTGAATGATTAATCACTGATGTTGACTTTTCACCGATAATGACATTTCTTGCCATCCATACAGACAGCGTGCTGCAGTGCTTTGTTTACAGTAATTTACAAACATGACTTTTATATACACTGGACAAAAATAGTTAGGGGTATATGTAAATTTTGAAATTATGAATAATGATCTATATATTCATTGACACACTGATGAAATATCAATCATAAAAA